AAAATGAAAAAATTAGCATATAATATTTATTTATGTTTTTTACTATTTGAGCATATATGTTTAAAGAATAAAATTACACTGCATGTATTTGGAATATGTTTAAAATATGAGGCACAATCATGTTAAAAGACAAATTTTGCTCTTGTGTGTTTTTGGAAATTTGATCACAAAATTTTTAAGTATGATTTTATACTTTTTTTAAAGTACATTTGATAGTTTTTGTAGAAATTTTTGTCTTTCAATTTTGTGGCAGGTTTTCTTTTTTATCTGAGCAAAAATGCCCCAAAGAAAAAACCCGATTTTGCCAAGGTCAAGGGTATATTTTAATAACGGGCTAAAATCAAACCAATTCTAACACATTTTAAACCCGGGGGTTTGAATCGTCAATTTTGGTTAATATGGAAACCCTTGTGAAACATTTAAGTAAATTATATGTGCTTAAAATTTGATTAGTTGCTTTTTCCCATATTACAGAATTTTCCCTAAACGTTTGTACGAGTCACAAAGAGAGGAGTAGTTGTCGGGGGTAAAGATCTCAATCATTATGATCCTGAAGATAATCTTGCTGGATGAGGTTGTTTATTGTTTACTCTTTTTTTTTGGTTCAACATCTTTTCTTATTAAAATGAAATGTTAGCTATGAAATTATTTGCAACATTAGAAGTTTGTTTGGTTGGTTTATTTTTTGGTCCAAATTATATCACATTAATCTGGTCTTGGTGGTTCATTTTGAGGGTTAAGAGCGAAACTGGTCTATCTGCTTCTGTTTCTATATTAAAATGGACCAGTTTTACTCTAAGCCCTTGATTTATCTTTTCCGTTTTCCTGGATAACTAACCAGTGATTACCAATTTCTCCACTATTTTCTGACTTCTAATCCTAATTGACTGCTGAACCAATATTGAAGGGACAAATAGTCCATTAGACATAATGTCCAAGATCAATTGTCTTAGAGTACAGAGTTCAGACACTGAGTGGTTAATGCATTGGACAAGTAATCTTAGAATTTCTGGCCATTGGGTTCAAACCCTGTCGGGGGCAAGCCATTGTTTTTTGTTAGCAATAAACTTTACACTCATTGCTTAGAACTGGTTGGTTCCAGTAACAGGTTTGGAGTGTTTTAAAAACTTAAAGCTTCCTGAACTAAAATAAATTTGTATAATCTAAAGTGATTGTTACAGAGAAATTCTTGCCAAAGGGTGGAACCAGGCAACCCCGGAGTACATGACTAAATCGGTAGCTCTCTCACTTTTGCAATAAGTAGGCATTAGGAGTGATTCTGTTACTATCCATTTCTATTAACAGGGTACAGACACTGTTTGTGTATTTATCGTGTCAACATATACCGATGGTACACCTACAGAAAGTGCGGCTTGGTTCTGTAAATGGCTAGAAGAGACATCTACAGATTTTCGTGTGGAGAAAACATTACTGCACAACCTCCAATATTGTGTTTTTGGTCTAGGAAATTCTTTATACTCGGACCATTACAATGTGGTATGTAAATTTATAGTTGTTTCCAATTTGTGTTAATGTAAATTTACATTCCTTACTACTATTCAGTTATGGAAAGCAATCTTTCAGGTTTAACTGCTGTATGTAAAAGCATTGGAAATGTTGAAATTATTCTTCTCTAAAAATATTGAAAAAATTAATTAATTGATTCAGGCTTTTCTTTTTTTTTTTTAAAAAAGTGTCTTTTTGCTTGTCTTTCATTAGTGATTTTAAAGAAAAGTATCAATTTTATTATCTACCAAAGCTTTAACTTTGCCTTGCAACTTCAAAAGGTCTAAACCATGTGATTTTATTTTTTAAAGGTTGGTAAGAATATTGACAAAAGTGGTTACATAAATTTATCAGCTTTGAGAGTTATGCCCCTTGGTCAGGAGACGAGGATGTGGTGAACAAGCAAACATGGAGGTACGTTATCACTTGTTATCAGGTTGTTCAAACATCTCATCATAAAATATGTGGTGATTTCATTTCCTTATTTAAACAAAAAGACAAAAGACAATATTGTGTTAATTATAACTGGTTATGTTTGATAGTTTATGTCACAGTTGAACTTGAGCATTTTGATATCCGGGTTGAAAACAAGGTGTTATATCTATCTTAGTTGTCTTAAAGCTTTTGAAATAATGATAAAATTCAATACTGATACTCTTAATGCTATCTTTTACAAGTCCAGTTCTGGAATATATTTGTAGTACTATATAATACAATGACAACTTTATGATGCATCCAATAACCAAGTTGTCCAGACCTTGCTTCTATACACAGCCTTGCATGAAATAGTGGAGAAAAATAGCCAATTCAGACACCTTTCACCTTTTTGTCTGTCAAACACCACACTGCTTGGGTAAATGCATTGGTTTTATTGTGGCTTAAAAATTGCCAGAAATATGTCCAGATTGCTGTGCAGGAATTTATCTTCAGACTTTCCCCATGGATGATGGCTTTGCCAGGGGTTTGTTAGTCCAAACCCAAAAGGATCTAAGATCACCTTCACTCTAAACCTATTTTATTTAAAAGAATTTATCCGATATTTAATACTGAAGAAATTAAACAACTTTGTGACTAAACAACTATTTAACTATTTATACTATAACCAGGTATAGAAGAAGATTTTCGAGCTTGGCGTAAGATATTCTGGCGCAAGGCTGGTCCCATCTTGATATGGAGAGAAAAAACAGTTGACACACCCAATACCACTTTTGGGGAAGCGAAGACAATAGCGGCTGGAAATGACCTAACGGTGGTCAATGTAAAATGTTAAGGCCCAGGATGGTGTGGCCCCGAAATGTAGCAGCTGATGAGGAGCAGCCCCAAAAGTCCCAAGACAAATGAGGTAAATGTTATGGTGTTTTAAATTGCCGTCTGCATGAACTGTTTTTAATTGCCGTCTGCATATTAAGACTTTCCAGTGCCACTAGTATATAGATACAGTCCAGCCTGCACTTCTATGCAGTCAGACCAGGGTCTATACTGTTTGCTGATTAATTTTGATTTTCTGGTAATGAATTGCTTGAAAATCAAAACAGACATGTTTTAAGTAGTGTTCTAGGTTCAAAGTAGGAAATTACATTCACATTGTGCATGGTACAGATACTTAATTGGTTACATTAGGTCTAACTGTTTTGAATACCATGTATTGAAAATGTCAAACTTGCATATCGAGAACTCTGAGCAGAGAGTTCTGCTCTTAGGTACTTATCTTTATTTCTTTCACAATTATATTTTGAATCTTACGTAGCCTTTAAGAAAGTGTTTCAAGTACAGACAACATGTACTCATAGTCAATTGAACAGCTGCAAAAGATTTTTAAACTCTGTGTTATTGGTAGCCTAAAAATAACTAGCAATGTTGGAAGAAAATTTTGGGTCTCAATTTATTTAGTAAAGTTTAAAAATATTCCCAAATGAACATAACACACAGTTTCATAATAACATAATGAGATCTTCCAAAAAACACTGAAAAAGAGACGTAATATGTATTGAGCTAGTGCAAGAGACAGAGAAATAATAAATGGCTCTCAGAAACAAAATGTAAAACAAGTCTAATTGTGGTTTGGATTTGCATTTTGAAACATAGTATATAAACTACATGTATTTAAGAGGCTGACTTCAGCCGTTCCCACCTTTACTCTATCAATAAATGATGTGTTGGATATTTGAAACAGACTATGATCCCCAAAGCAATTATGTTTAAATGAGACAAGACTGTTAAAATTGAAATAGAAATATGAATTGTACACATCCAGTAAGAAATATGAATTGTACCACATCCAGTAAGAAATATGAATTTGTACACATCCAGTTAGAAATATGAATTGTACACATCCAGTTAGAAAATATCACCAGAATTGTACACATCCAGTTAGAAATATGAATTGTAACACATCCAGTTAGAAATATGAATTGTACACATCCAGTAAGAAATAATGAATTGTACACATCCAGTAAGAAATATGAATTGTAACACATCCAGTTAGAAATATGCAATTGTACACATCCAAGTAAGAAATACATGAATTATACACATCAGTTAGAAATATGAATTGTACACTTCCAGTAGATAAATATGAATTGTACACACATCCAGTAAGTAATATGAATTGTACATATCCAGTAAGAAATATGAATTGTACACTTCCAGAATTAGAAATATGAATTGTACACTTCCAGTAAGTCCACATCTTTGTCTTTTCCGATAAGCTATAAACAAATGAGACCACTACTGATGAAGAGGCGGATGATGTCGACGACAATAACGACGAAGTAACACAGAACAGCTCAGGTGTTGTTGACCTTGATAAGATCTTGGAAGAGTCATGAAAGAAAATGAAAACTGCAAAGGTAAGATATTTGCATACAAAATCTTATCTCTATTACCAGTTCACTTGTGATCTTTCTGAGTATTATTTTTCATCTTATCATTCTATACAAAATGATTCAGCTGATTGCTGACAGTTTGATTTAGCAATTTTAATGTTAAAAAAATATCTCACATTAACTATGGACATTCACCAATGTTATCATGCAGGCGCAAAGTACATTAAAACAATTCAAGAACAGCACATAGGTAAACTAGGGATTGAAAAGGGAAGGAACATATTCAGGACTTATACTGTTTTTGAATAAAAAAATGAGATTTGAGACAAGGAAGATGTGGCTTATACTGCTTTTGTTTTACCTACCGTCTAAAATGTAGCGCATTTTACGGGGTTAGCGCCAAAAAAGTGAGCTCAGGTCTAACGCATAATTCATCTCATACTCTAGGTAGTAAATAATTTCAAGAACAGGTCTGCTATGGCCATCACCATGTCTTCACAAATGATACAAGTATTGGTTGATTTAGGAAGCCAGCTTGTAAGTGATAAGAAAAAGCTTAAATCTGTCTTCCTAATGAACCTTTGAACCTTGTTTTTCAACAAAAAACCTATGAAAGAAATTGTAATATTATTTTAAAGGTTCAGAGAAAAGCGGAAGAAGAGGCAGCTGGTAATGGAGGAGAGAAGAAGGAAATGGTTACACCACAGTTGAGGAAAGCTCTCACCAAGCAGGGATACAAGATTGTAGGCTCGCATTCTGGTGTCAAACTTTGCAGGTGGACTAAGGTAAATTATCCAAAACTATTATATATAAAATGTGCATTTTGTGTAGATATCATAAAACTGTTGAGCATATCATAAAAGGGCGAAATAACAAACGTGTTTTCTAACTCATTCAATAGTTTTACAAAGAAAAATAGGAATGATTGTACCATTTTACCTCTTGTAAGTCTCCTCCTGGTAGTTTCATGTGAGTCAATGATAGGTTTCTCTTTTAAAGTTTTCATGCCATATGTCTCGAACTCTGGAATAGGGCAATGTATATAAATGCAAGACACTGTTTTACATTATCAGCCTCATGCAGTAACAAATTTTTCAGTATTTAGAACTAGTTGACAAATTACAACCTCCATGCTTATTAGACAAAATCCCAACTATGATGTTCCTCTCTCCTCAATGTTTACGAGGAAGAGCTGGTTAGTACACATAGCACACATTTCTACTGAGATAATAGAAAGAATACAAAATGAGATTAATGAGCAGACCCCATACCCCGAAGTCTTGCCAGCTGACTCAAAACAAATATTGTCTCTGATTGGAGGTACCCATAGTAGAAAAACGTACACACAAATTATATATTATAACATATAACCTATAACAGCTAAAGTTTTAAAGCACACTAAGCCTCAGAAATTTATGTGTTTTTCCTCCAAAGAAAAGGCAAACCTTCCATAGTTTATATAACAATGATGTTATTGAAATAAATGGAGGAATACATGGTTATATATACCTTAACATGCAAAGAAATAGCAGCACGGACAAATGTGAAATATCAATGTGATACTTCAAAATAATAGAAGAATTGAAATGCGTCACACCTGTTATATATGTCTTTCAAACCAATGCTAAATGACAAAACCTCAAAAACATTAAATCTTGATGACCTTAAAACCTAGAGTTCAGCTATATGGCAAATGAGTTCTGTGTCAGAAACTGTAGAACAAGAATAAACAGATTTTAAGAAATAAAGTAAAAGTATTGGGCTTTAAAACACTAATATGTGAATGTGGATTATTGCTTGTCATAAATTTTTCAAATGGCTTCGAGTTGGTAATGTAACCATTATAGTTTAAATAAACATAAGTAGTGGGAATGATTCCCTAAAGTTTTTGTGATATATAAAGCTAACTTTTTTATTTCAGACATCACACCAATCCTGTTGGTACAGAATGGAGATGGCAAATGGATGACCCAGAACTTGTCTTTAATGGTGCTTTAGAAAATCATGTTAACATGATTAAGCAGTTTAAAGGTATGGTTTTCCATCTAATTTGTTGTTTTCATGTTTTGAGACAGATCTGGATAACGTAATCTAAATGGCTGTTTTTTATTTTTTGTTTATCTGGCTATTATGTCTAACTATCACATTTTTGGTGATACCTCAGCGGTAGGTCAGCCTAACCAGTTTTCCTGGATAACTAACCAGTAATTACCAATCAATTTCCCTGCAAGTGAACAACTACTACTAATCCAGTGATAAGAGACCACAATGCCTAAGATCAATTGTTTCTGAGAAATTTGGTTTATTTGAGGATTAACAAATTTAAACCCCTGTTAATCTAAGCAGGCTAACAGATGAAGTTGGAACTAGGAAACTATTTGTGATATTGTGGCCCAACATTGGCGTCATAACACCCTTAATTTTTTATTATCATGAAATAATATAAACTTAATTGATAATTTACCATTACTTTGCTGATGAATAATATTGCAGGGATGTACCTGTATCTGAAATAATTTGTGTATCATTAAATATGTTGATAAGAATCAACATATAGATATCATTTCATATGCCCCACTTAATTAGGGTCAGGGGAGGTACATGTATGTAGATTTGTCCTGGTATAGCTGCCTTATCTGCCTGCCATGCTGTGAAGCTATCGATCAAAGCAGTGGAATGTGGGGCATCAGTACTTTTTGAACACATTTCTAGTTATTGTCAAATCTACATGCCAAAACTAGAAATAAAAGACCTCGAAAAACTTAACACCCAACAAGAATGAAAATAGGAACCCAAGGGCAAGAGTTTTACATGACAGTATTTACCACCTCCGTCTTAACTCATATCTTTAACCACAAGAATTATCATCCACAATAATTCAAATCATCCTATAATCCCAATATAAACCACTTTATATACATATTAAAAATAGTGTACCACACAGCGATGTTCAGGCAGACGATTTGAGGAGGGCAAAACAGCCCAGAACCACATAATCAATGCCTCTCCTACCCTAAAGGTAGTAGAAAATCGAACTTCATGTAAAATCCAAGAGTAAAATATAATCAGAAATATTATAAGACCACCCTCAACCTTCAATGATAAACACATATTCACATTCATGGTTACAAATGCTCAGTTTCCAGATGCAATAAAGTAAGTTTGTCAGATGACAGAAGATAATCAAATATATCTCTTTGTTTAGGTTATTTATCACATAAACCATGGCGCAGGAGTGTATTTAACCCATTTATTAAAATCAATATTACACTAGTGTAATAACCCTTTGATGTGATGCCTTTTGCGTTATATACAAACATAGCGTTTATGCGATAATGTCAGAGGCTCGCATGATTTGATTTTATTCAACTTATTCAATAAATTTAATATTAAATCTACACTTATTCAATATCCTCTATTTATAACATGCCATTCAGTGAACAATGAAATTATGTTGTGATAATGTCACAGTGAAATTATAAAATATAATTTTTACAGTAGTTGGACTTTATCTGAATGCAGATATATAAAAAAAGATATCGTGAGTTAGTTGAAATATCATCCGAAAAAAACTCCATCATGAGTAAAATATGCTTATTACGAAAAGCACATTAATATCTGCACAAAAATTGAGTATGAAATTATTAATGATTGTTTGCCATATAACATTTTATACAGCACCATATAACCTGACAAATTTCTTTATAATAAAAATTCTATTTATTTTATAGAAATCTCTCGCCAGTCACACAGTTATATGTGAGTGTTGATGCCAGTACAAAAGATAGTCTGAAGAAAATAGACAGACCTTTGTTCAAGGACTTCTGGGAAAGATTTCTAGAAAGTTTGAAGGAATTGTCAGCTAAAGGGCAGAGAACTGTGTACAGGCTTACCCTTGTAAAGGCTTTCAATACAGATGAGATAGAAAATTACGCAAAACTGGTGTCACTTGGAAACCCAGATTTTATAGAAATAAAGGTGAAGGTCATTTGGGAGCTGTCTTTAAGAATTTTGCGTCAGCTTTAAAAACAGTAAAATTTCAAGATTTTAAATGAAAAGTCAAACACTTAAATGCTTTAGTGCTTTAGTTACTTTGCACTTATATATTACTAGTATGTAATAATTGTACATTGAATTTTTGTCATTTTGATATCAGTCTTTATATAAACCTCATGTATGACACTAGTACAGTTTTTCTGTTGTCTAAATTAATTAGTTTGATTGACTTGATAGAGATTTGGTTATCTTTTTAGCTCACCTGTCACAAAGTGACAGGGTGAGCTTTTGTGATCGCTTTTCGTCTGGCGTCCGTCCGTCGTCCGTCCGTAAACTTTTGCTTTAAATGACATCTCCTCATAAACCACAGAGCCAATTTCATCCAAACTTCACAGGAATGTTCCTTTGGTGGTCACCTTTAAAAATTGTTCAAAGAATTTAATTCCATGCAGAACTCTGGTTGCCATGGCAACCGAAAGAAAAATCTTTAAATATCTTCTTTTAAACAACCCTAAGAGCTAGAGCTTAGATATTTGGCATGAAACATCTTCTAATGAGTGTCTACCAAGTTTGTTCAAATAAAAGCCCTGGGGTCAAAATTGGCCCCACCCCGGGGGGTCATTGATTTTCCTTATATGCATATAGTAAAAACTTAAAAAATCTTCTTTTAAAGAACCGTAAGAGCTAGAACTAAGATATTTGGCATGGAACATCTTCTAGTGAGTGTCTACCAAGTTTGTTCAAATAAAAGCCCTGGGGTCAAAATTGGCCCCGCCCCAGGGGGTCATTGATTTTCCCTATATGCATATAGTAAAAACTTAAAAAATCTTCTTTTAATGAACTGTAAGAGCTAGAGCTTAGATATTTGGCATGAAACATCTTCTAGTGAATGTCTACCAAGTTTGTTCAAATAAAAGCCCAGGGGTCAAAATTGGCCCCGCCCCAGGGGGTCATTGATTTTCCCTATATGCATATAGTAAAAACTTAAAAAATCTTCTTTTAAAGAACCCAAAGAGCTAGAGCTAAGATATTTGGCATAAAACATCTTCTAGTGAATGTCTACCAAGTTTGTTCAAATAAAAGCCCTGGGGTCAAAATTGGCCCCGCCCTGGGGGGTCATTGATTTTCCCTATATGCATATAGTCAAAACTTAAAAAATCTTCTTTTAAAGAACCGTCACAGCTAGAGCTTAGATATTTGGCATAAAACATCTTCTAGTGAATGTCTACCAAGTTTGTTCAAATAAAAGCCCTGGGGTCAAAATTGGCCCCGCCCCAGGGGGTCATTGATTTTTCCTATATGCATATAGTAAAAACTTAAAAAATCTTCTTTTAAAGAACTGTAAGAGCTAGAGCTTAGATATTTGGCATAAAACATCTTCTAGTGAATGTCTACCAAGTTTGTTCAAATAAAAGCCCTGGGGTCCAAATTGGCCCGCCCCAGGGGGTCATTTATTTTCCCTATATGCATATAGTAAAAACTTAAAAAATCTTCTTTTAAAGAACCGAAAGCGCTAGAGCTAAGATATTTGGCATGAAACATCTTCTAGTGAATGTCTACCAAGTTTGTTCAAATAAAAGCCCTGGGGTCCAAATTGGCCCGGCCCCGGGGGGTCATTGATTTGCCCTATATGCATATAGTAAAAACTTAAAAAATCTTCTTTTAAAGAACCGTAAGAGCTAGAGCTTAGATATTTGGAATGAAACATCTTCTAGTGAATGTCTACCAAGTTTGTTCAAATAAAAGCCCTGGGGTCAAAATTGGCCCCGCCCCAGGGGGTCATTGATTTTCCCTATATGCATATAGTAAAAACTTAAAAAATCTTCTTTTAAAGAACCCAAAGAGCTAGAGCTAAGATATTTAGCATGAGACATGTTCTAATGGGTGTCTACCAAGTATGTTCAAATGAAAGCCCTGGGGTCAAAATTGGCCCCGCCCTGGGGGGTCATTGATTTTCCCTATATGCATATAGTCAAAACTTAAAAAATCTTCTTTTAAAGAACCGTCACAGCTAGAGCTTAGATATTTGGCATAAAACATCTTCTAGTGAATGTCTACCAAGTTTGTTCAAATAAAAGCCCAGGGGTCAAAATTGGCCCCGCCCCAGGGTGTCATTGATTTTTCCTATATGCATATAGTAAAAACTTAAAAAATCTTCTTTTAAAGAACTGTAAGAGCTAGAGCTTAGATATTTGGCATGAAACATCTTCTAGTGAATGTCTACCAAGTTTGTTCAAATAAAAGCCCTGGGGTCCAAATTGGCCCCGCCCCAGGGGGTCATTTATTTTCCCTATATGCATATAGTAAAAACTTAAAAAATCTTCAATTAAAGAACCGAAAGCGCTAGAGCTAAGGTATTTGGCATGAAACATCTTCTAGTGAATGTCTACCAAGTTTGTTCAAATAAAAGCCCTGGGGTCTAAATTGGCCCGGCCCCGGGGGGTCATTGATTTGCCCTATATGCATATAGTAAAAACTTAAAAAATCTTCTTTTAAAGAACCGTAAGAGCTAGAGCTTTGATATTTGGCATGAAACATCTTCTAGTGAATGTCTACCAAGTTTGTTCAAATAAAAGCCCTGGGGTCAAAATTGGCCCCGCCCCAGGGGGTCATTGATTTTCCCTATATGCATATAGTAAAAACTTAAAAAATCTTCTTTTAAAGAACCCAAAGAGCTAGAGCTAAGATATTTAGCATGAGACATGTTCTAATGGGTGTCTACCAAGTATGTTCAAATAAAAGCCCTGGGGTCAAAACTGGCCCCGCCCCGGGGGTCATTGATTTTCCTTACATGTGTATAGCAAAAACTTTAACATTTTCTTTGAAAAAACCCAAATAGCTAGAGTTTAGATATTAAGCATGAAACATCTTTAAGTAAATATCTACAAAGTTTGTTCAAATAAAAGCCCAGGGGTCAAAACTGGCCCTGCCCGAGGGGTGTCATTGTTTTTAACCATATGTGTATAGTAAAAACTTAAAAAAATCTTCTTTTAAAAAACCTAATGAGCTAGAACTTAGATGTTTTGCATGAAACATCTTCTTATGGGTGTCTACCAAGTCTGTTCAAATAAACAAATAAAAGCCCTTGGGTAAAAATTGGGCCGGGGGGGGGGGGGGGCTTTATACAGGTGAGCGACCTCAGGGCCATCATGGCCCTCTTGTTTATAATTTGGCAAATTAAATATAGTTTACCCTCTACAATTTACACTGACACTTTACAAATTTAATGATAGGTCAAAACATTTAACACTTCAGTGTTTGTGACTTTAGAATGGCTTGATTGCCATGATTTTAAGTCTTATACTTTTTAAGGCATGTTTGTTGACTAAAACTCATTGTCTGCTTTTATTTAGTCAACCATATACTTTACATATAATTCATATAATTAATCTAATTTTAATTTATTCAGGGTGTAACGTATTGCGGAGATTCTAAAGCATCTAGTCTGACCATGAGTAATGTCCCCTGGCACGAGGAGGTCGTCGGCTTTGTTAAACAGATAGCTGATGAGTTACCAGACTATGAGATAGCATCGGAGCATGAACACTCTAACTGTATACTCCTTGCTCATAAAAGGGTAAGTTAGATTTTTTACGGAAAAAAATACTCTTGAGTTGTGAGTGAATTCCTCAATTCTCCGAGAGTTTTGCGTTAATCTCATTATCCTCATACAATGTTACTTGTTTCTAGCAATTTCTAGTTATTTATATAATGGGTTACTGATAAATATGAAAGATTGGAATTTCATATGCGGTTATTTAGAACGTCTGCTGTTCAAAACTGTTTTTGTTAAAACGTCAAATCTTACAGTAGCTTTGACCAATAATGATATAATGAAATTGAAGGAACAAAAATTTCAGAAAAAACTGAGCTTGTTGATGTGTAGATGCTTAGCAGAAAAACGGAGGTATTTGTATTGCTCAGGTTTTAATACATATACATTTGTATTACAGTTCAAGATAGACGAAGACTGGTGGACGTGGATTGATTATCCAAAATTTCATGAACTTGTGAGAAATTATAAAGAAAGTAATGGTAAACAGACATTTTCAGCCAAAGACTACATGGCTAAAACACCACACTGGGCTGTGTTTGGAGCCAAAGAACAAGGTTTTGACCCAAAGGAGACAAGATATTTCAGAAAGTCGAAAAAAGATATTGGTGGTTGTTAAAAATTGGAATATCAATTTGAAAATGTTCTTCCAATTGGACAAAGCTCACTTTGGAAGTGTGAACTAATTTGTATGTAAAGAAAACTCCATTAATAACATCTCAGAATATTCTGTAAAATACATTACATCATAGTTTTCATAAGGAATCTGGTTCTACTCTGGTGCATGCCTTTGCCTGTAAAAATGTAATTAGGGGCACCTGAGGTCATCATTAGCCATTCTCAAAGCTGGAAAGTTGCCATATTATGACCTATACAGTGTCAGTTTGACTTAACACAAGAATTACATCAATCAGTCATTACATTATCTGAGATACATGTATATAACAAACGTGTTTCTCCCTGTGAGATAAAATCTCAGTAATTTTCCAAGTTCCTAGATACCCACATCAAAAATGTATGTGGTATTCATTTCCTGTAATACATCCTGTTAGAAGGAGGATTTAACATTGACACTTCATCTAAAAAGGTCAAACTGGTTGTTAGATTAAATTCAGTGATGTTATGTAGACATACATGATATCTATTACCATCGAGGTAAAAACAAATTACCTCAGCTCTTTACATCTTAAAGACGAGATACCCCGGTAATCGCCAAATGCGTTTTTTTTCTCTCGTCTAAACCCAGAGTACAAACAGAACTTTTAAAGTTACAATTTGGTAAATAAATAAAATAGATACTAGACACAACAATTTGATATGTATATGTAATCCGGCCAATTTGCTGTTCGTGTTCTTGAAATAAATGATAAATGTACAAAAGTATGAAACAGTGAGACAGTATTTCATAAAAAAAATCATAGAAACATGTTTTGCTTACTGTTTTATAACAGATATGTTTCAGTAATATAAGAGGCATTAATGGTGTGGAGGGGTGTTGATGAAATTTAGTTATTTTGGTATTTTCTTTATTATCTAGAAAATGATATATTACATGAGGTTATTATATAGAAACATACTCGAGTATACATACATAAAAAGTAAAAATAAAACAATGGAGAATCCTCAATAACATCATGCTGGGTTTTTTTGTTGGACATTATATAATATTTATTTTATATAAAGGTCTCAATAAAATTAAATGTGCCCGTTAATTTCTGAACCTGTTTACTCAGTTTTTATTTTGTTTTTATCCCAATATATGTTGCTCCAACTTTGATCCTTTGATCATACCCCAAGTTACTACTTGCATTGTATTCCTTGAAGACTGCACTGAAGACATATTGTTATTGATGTTAATAAACCATAAATTAACAAAATGTTTTTTTCTTTTTCTTTCTGGGTTCATTGAGGACACATTTGAACTAGGACCTTCTTGGTACTTTAAGCGACTTGACCTTTGTGTCATCTTGTCAAATATTTACTACACTGTATTTAGGATATTCATTGTAGATGTTCTTATCTACTCCCTTTTTACCTAAACTATTCAAAGAATAAATTGGCTATCCTACTTGAAAGAGGGGTCATCAAAGTGGGCGTAACACTGGTTAAAGTTTTACGTGCAGCTTGTTGCACGGCATCATGTATCATATACGTCTTAGATCATAAAAGTAGGTCAGGTCATGGCCCACAAGTCTGCCATGAAATTCGTATGTTTCATGGCCTCTGTGAAATTAAAAAGTTTTCTGTTAAAGTGTTGTTTGCAACATTTATCTTAAAAATACTGATGTTATTCACCTAAAACTTGATTCACGTTTTCAGAATTATGATTCAAGGCCACTTTTCAAGACTCATAACTCTTGCAGGGATTTAAACGAATTTTGGATGAAACACTTTCCTTTATGAACTTGCAAAATTCTTTGGTCAATTTCAAAGACCTACATGTATAAAGTTGTTATTGAATGAATGTGTACCGCTGGAGGCGCCATGTTCTAAATTCAACCAAAGCTATTTCCTTGGTATACCCATGAAATAGGATGGCCTCAACGCATGTCATCTTGATTTACCCCATTGCACGTAGATCGAGCCTCCTAATAACCTTGCTGTTGACCAACCGAAATATGTGAGATCGAGTTGCATTAATTTACGCAGGTGTGATACTATGACATAACGTGCATGAGGCCCACCTTGCTGTTCTGTCGTATACGCTGATATAAAAAACCCAGTCGATATTTACAAAACTTCAACGATCCTATATGTATACATTTAGTCTCTCAAGGTTTTATGTAAACATTTATTACTAATGTCCCAGATGGTGTTCTATACAAAGAGGAAAACGCGGAAGTGAATTATACTACAAGTATATAGATATTCATTATGTTATCAATAATTTATATTAATTATAATTATAATTCAATGTTTATTTTGTTTAATTCAAGCTGTGTATTCATCATTTGTTAATCAGTATTTCTGATTTAAATTTTTTATCTTTGACTAAATATTTTTGAATATAACCAAGGGGGAGAATCACGCCGTTCGTTACCCAAACAAACAAGATGGCGGATGAAGCCAAAAAGTAGGTTTTTCCCTTTTTTCTCTGAAATTCGTGATGTTCTAATGTAAAGGTACATATAACAACCTTCTCCACAATTTTCCTGGCACACAGGATTTTATTTCATGATGATTCGTCCCGTACTTTATCTGAAATGCGCGTCACCAGATTCGAAGCGAGAGAATTTTCCATCGGTTTGATCCTGGTAACGTACGGCTTTTTCTCTCAAATTCACTGTTTCGTTTACATATATGTATATTAACTGAAGCCACTCACTTTAAAAAGTTGTAATATGTTGTCAAGTAAGCAATCATGCCCATTCTGGCTAGATTTACTGCTGTAAATATTAATATCGAGGCATTTTCTGGAAATGATAACGTATGGCGCACAAAATATCAATGATAACGTACGGCGCATTTTACTTCTTGGTGGAGTTCCATTTGTCCAATCAGCTGATAATGAATTATTTTTATATAAGGAAATGATAGATATCTGAAAAAAATGTTGGTCAGGTCAGAAATAATTAATTGAACAATGCTGTCCCATCGGAAATAAATATCTTTCTAGCTGGTGGCATAATAGATATCCGTTGTTAATACATTTTGTATACCAATAAAAACACACGTGCATGTATAGTTTGAGAATATTTTGTATAAAATGCAGAATAGAAAGAAAAACCTCCACTTTCAGGAAACATTTGTGTAGTGTCGTCTTCACATTAAATTTCGCCAGTGTTATGCGATAATTATGCTCTTTCCCCTTATCGGAAAGAAGAAACGCATTCAGCAGAGCAAAAATGTTAAAAAAGGTATGGACGGCTTGATATATTTTCTTTTTCAAAGAAAAAGTCTAAAATCATTCCTAACAAATTTCTGATAAGGAAATATTAATATTTGAACCCGTCAAACATTTACAAAACGAAAATTGATCGCGACTAGCTTAGCCTACACCCAGATGAGATGAGCCTGTGTTTATTCAATCTGGTCGCTCATTGAAAGAAAAATAATTAACAGAGAACAATGAATGATTGTAGGTTCTATAATGAATTTATTGAATGAGTTAGAAAATAATGTGATGCGAAAAACTTCAATGAATTTAGTAAATAAGAAATTTTCTGTTTATTTGACGGGCGGTTAATATTGAAACGCTACCATTTAGCGAGACGTGCCACTATGACGTCAGATATATTTACGCGACATAGCCTTCCAGTTTTTTTTATTATAGTAGACAGTAGACAGTAGACATTTTATTTTATTCCAATAGGCTTTAAAGCCGATGAGGACATAAAACATGCACAATAACGAACAGTTCATATAAACAAAATATAAAAAATCAAGAAAATGTTTGGAGATCAATTTTGATTGATAAAGTAAATACCAGCCGAAATTTTCTTAAGGAGTTACATAATGAACATCTTCAAAATTGATCTTTAAACCAGTACCTTATAGATCTCTTGTATATACATACACACATATACATGTACATACATACAAAAACATACATTACATGAACCATTAATGCAAAATTGTTGTATATTAATCGAATAAACGCAATTACCGTATGTTTATACACATATCCTAAAAAAAATAAAGGTCCCTTCGCATCAATTGTGGATTTCATAATTGTAAATGAAAGGAACGTCATAATTTGATCAAAACAATTACATGCAAGAATTTGCCTCTAATATTCTGGCGTTTTTTTCCACAAACGCCCCAACAAAAACAATAATTTCTTTAAAAAAAAGTATTGCAGGTATCAGCAATAAAAGAGTGACATTGGAATTTGCTTATTAATTTCTAGTGTTAATTATAAAGTTTCAAATCGGATTTGGATTTCGATGTTTTTATCCATGCCGGAAACCCCGTCTGAAACCTTTAATGCCAGACCGCTCATGCGCCTAGATGATGTCATTATCTTTATGAAAGAACGGTTTTAAAAATTATTACGCTACACTTAAACTAGTTGTAAGTGTTCATCCGTGTTGTTCTACAGAAATTAGAATTAGAAAACTTCGACGGGAGCGATAGCGACCGGAGAATATTTCTTATTTCTGTAGAACAGCTACGGATGAATACAGACATACTTAGCTTTATTTTGCTTCACTAATATTAACTTTATTTCGTCACTATACGTGTCCATTTGCACAAACGCAGTTGTATGAAGCACTATGAAAAATAAAAGGCTGCTATGAACGGACTTTGTTCTTCTAAGAAAATTTACACAAAGAATTTTTAAGAAATACAACGCTTTTATTGGATGACAAATAAAGCTGGACACTAATATTATTTATTTCAGTTTCTTAATTTGGTTCTACACATCCTCTTATGTCTTGTAAACATAACTTTTCTATTATAAAGAAAATCGATTAATCAGAAAAAAAATGCGCCGTACGTTATCATTGATATTTTGTGCGCCATACGTTATCATTTCCAGAAAATGCCACGATATTAATATTTTCAGTGGTTTCAGTAAATATATACATATAGGTAAACGAAACAGTGAATTTTAGAGAAAAAGCCGAACGTTACCACGATCAAACCGGTGGAAAATTCTCTCGCTTCGAATCTGGTGACGCGCATTTCAGATGAAGTACGGGACGAAACATCATGAAATAAAATCCTGTGTGCCTGGAAAATTGTGGAGAAGGTTGTTATATGTACTTTAACATCAGAACATCACGAATATCAGAGAAAAAAAAGGGAAAACCTACTTTTTGGCCGCATCCGCCATCTTGTTTGTTTGGGTAACGAACGGCGTGATTCTCCCCCGTGATAACAAATTTAAAGAAGTTGAGGACTTATCGTTTGAAATATTTCTCTGGTGTCAAATAATTCTTGTAGACTAAATAAAATTACTTGAAGGGTATAACACTATATATCTGCTGGAAAAAAAACAGTGTTTGAATTTTAAAAAAGAAAACTAAAATGCTTGCATTGTGTATTGCCTTAATTTGTGCAAAGGAATAAATTATTAAACTCAACTTGTTTCATAGTTAATTGCACGTAAGAACCACCTTCAGACGCCTTGTTTGAGCAGGGTCTTTCAAACAGAATATATGAAAAACCCTGGTTTGAGGAAACAAAATATGTGTGTCGCTAACACATTTAGTCTGAATCATGAGTTATCTAAAAGACGATAAATTCTTCAAGTTTTATCCTCATTGAGAGCGCTGTTATCTCTTGCTGTGAGCATACCTAAAATTGATATAAACAAGTGTTTTATTTGTTTACCCGGGTAGATAGATAACACCAGGAAGTGTTCCCGTTCTTGGCTTTGATTTTGTTTGGTCATTGGAGTTAACTTGACAAAATTACGCTCTGGTATTATTCTCTGATGATAAGTATATTTTTTCTTTTTACGTATTACACGACAAAACTGTGGTCAAATTATCTAATATTGTGTCTTAATTAATTCATAGTGTATTATGTTACTTTTTTTAATGATTTGATGATAACTAAATGAAAAAAAAATGATTTGATCATTCATTTAATAACTTTTCATTTTTACCATTTGAGATTGTCAGCGACACAATGGAGCGTCTATGTAGAGAAACCTACTGGATTCATACACAGACGCTTGGGGGTCAGATCCTGCCCCCCCCCCCCCCAACGTGATACGCCCCTGTAAACACTCTACCAAAACTGTTTTAATATTTAAACACGAATGGTACATCTATTACAACGATAAAATGTTTTTCAAACAATTTTTACGTATATGAAAAAATACCGTATACCATCAAGTCTCAATGAGACTGTTTAAATATTAAAATAGTTTTGGTAGAGTGTTTACAGGGGCGTATCACGTTGGGGGCAGGATCTGACCCCCAAGCGTCTGTGGATTCATAAGCTAAAGACGTTTTCACCATCTGGATTAAATGCAAAAATTTTTAACGACATTTAATTATTTCCGTAGGTTCTTTGCGTAGACATTCCATTTTAAAATGGATATATACTATTTCCATGATAACTAATGGACAATTTTGAACGAACTTTTACAGCTACAAGAACCAAATACATGGACAATCAAGGCTTTCTGTTATTTTTAATATTATAAGAAATATTCTTAACGAGAGTTCGTTATTTTCTTTAGGCAAGCGACAATTTCAAAGTTACAGTTTTGTGATATTTATGCAAAGCATGTTTTTACTGAAGGCATTTAGAATAAGATTATTTCTTAGTTCAAAGCTTTTACTGAAATATTTTGTACTAAATCGCTTATAAATAAAAGCACATAGAGTATATCTTAAACCAAGAGTTTTGTACTTGACCTTACGTGGATAAGTGGTCAAAGGAAAATTGTTTGAAAACAAAAACCAGTATTACAGAAGTTTTAGTTCTACCTCATCGAGTTTTGCCATCACACTTTTAATGTCAGGCAACGGAATTTTAGTCTTGATTTTCAGATAAATATGCGGAATCAATGTAATTGTTTGAAAACCCCATCTAATTATTAATTTTTCAAGGACAAGCAAAATGAAGTACAGCAGTGTAGCCGTTAGTTTACTGGTGTTTGTCATTTACTATAACGTCATTTGTACTTCCTGCACAGACTGGCATTTCACGGGTACGTATTTACGTTTTGTTACCCAGCTATTTATCATATTCGCTTCAGTAAAGCAAAATGTAACCAACAAACAAAATAATTCAATTCCAGTTAATGTAAGCACTTATTAATTGACCGCGTTTTGGTCGTGGATCAAATAAACGAATTGCATATTTGCGCTTTCATTGCAAATATAAAAAGTTGTAATGCTTTTATAAAAATGCCCTTTAAAATCTTTAAAAAAAATGTAAATGTATGATATGCAAAATGTTAAATATCGTTTAAAAATTGTAAAAACAGAAATTGACATTAAACTATTTCTTTCGCCATGCAACAGTTTGAGAAACTTAAGATCAACACCGAAAATAGATACTATGACGGCATAGAACAGAACCTAACACATTTTAAGGAATGACGAACTTGATGTTTGTCATCATAAGATTAAAACTCGACCCTGTTTCCTTGAGCTACAGTCTCACTTACATCCCGGCAGAGCCCCGGTAGACGTCCGGGGTGATTCGGGAACGACCGGGTATGACCGTGAACAACCGGAGTAGATCCGTAACTCTGCCGGCAACGTCCGGGATGATCCGGGAACATCCGGCATTCGACACCCGGATGGAATAAAATATTTGATATCACCGGGATGGTCGGTGATCCTTGAAGTATAGCTTTGCCGCCGACGACCGGGGTTACACCGAGGAGCACCGTAGCTCTGTCGGCACAAAGCGGGGATTATCCGGGGTATGATATAGCCGGGAGAGCTACGGTAGAGCCCCGGTGAATGCTGGCAAAGTCCCGGCAGAACCCCGGATGATACCGGCAGAGCCCCGGAGGATGACGGCAGAGCCCCGGAGGATGGTTGATCCCAGTAGAGCCCCGGCAAAGCCCGGTTCATTTCAAAAGAATCACGACAATTTGCAATGATTGCACTTGTTTGTAATAAAACCCTTCCCATTTCCCTTCTATCAAGTCTTGCATAAGGATTTTTCAGAAAATCATCATGAATTACTGTTCTGGTATTAAATTAAAATACGTATAAATGTAATAATTTGCCACCGTGGTCCTACCGGGACTCTGCCTGGATCGTCCAGGGCTCTGCCGGGGCTCTGCCTTGATCGACCGGGGCTCTGCCTGGGTCAACTTGGACTCTTCCGGCGTCACACGGGAACGACCGGGGAAGCACCGGCATGAACCGTAGCTTCACCTGGGCTCTGCGCATCCTGGGTGGTTAGTTTGGAATTACGGTAGTGCTGCCGGGGTAAGTGTGACCGCAACAATAATTTCACCCAGATCGTCTCGAATCATGCCAGTAACCTACCGGGGTGGTCCTGGGCTCTGCTGGGAGTAAGTGAGACCGCAGTTTTACATATAGGATATGGAACGCCATGACTGTCTTATGTGATCAATGTGTTGCCATCTTGTAAAATGCTGATAATATTTTGTCGTTTGTGATAATGCTAACATGTGCAACTTACACCATGTCTTATCCAAACAGCATGTTAACTTGTCAAATTCTCATGATAACATATGCAGATAGCATGTTAACTTGTCAAACGACATGTTAGCTTGTCAAAGTATCGTGATGACTTGTGTAAAGGACATGTTAACTTGTCAAGTTATTATTATGACTAATCATGATACATTGACATGTTTACATGTTCTTTACACCTATTATCATGATAATTCGACAGGTTTACATGCTGTTTGCACAAGTCTTAACGATATGTTTGCAAGTTAACATGTCGTTGCAAAAATATCGTGTCATGGCGTTCCATATCCGGAATTCACCGGGATCCTATAAGTTAACATGTCGTTTGTACATGTCATCATGATACTTCCACAAATCACGATATCTTTACAACTTAACATGTTGTCTGCACATGTCATCGCGATAATTTGATAAGTTAACATGTTCTTTTCACATGTCATCATGATACTTTGACATGTTAGCATGGTGTTTGCTCAAGTTAGCATGATCCTTTGACAAGACATAATGTGAATTGCATATGTTAACATGCTCAAACGACAAAATAATATCAACGTTTCACAAGATAGCAAACAAATTGATCACATAAGACAGTCACGGCGTTCAATAATAGGAAGTAGATTCTAAAGTCATCTTTTGTAAACAATTGTTTCATGGAGTAGTATGTGCGTCTCTTTAACGTCAAACACTGCGAATATAAGCCCACCATCTCGCATATGAGTCACTCCCGATGACCATAATTGGCGGCGGCAGCCATCTTGGACTTTTAATGCATGACATCTCCTACAGAGCTGACACTTAGAGCTTGAGGTCAGGGAGACCGGGATAAAATGCGTACGAGTGATTTTACTTACAATCGATCATAAGCGTTCGATAGAACCTTTAAAAACGTTTCATTTGATACCCAACTACGTTACCAACGTTCGTTTGGAAGATATGTTATACACAAATAATTTTTGTTCTCCTTGGATTTCACCCAAGCCACTGATTATTTTAGCTCAACATGAGCTATCACGTAGAATGACGCATCGTTTAATAAATAGAATGACATCATTATTTTATTTATAATCTCCCAGCTAGAGTTTTTAGCTCCTCGACGACAAGTGTTATATTTAAATAAATAAATCCAATTTATTTAACGATTGATGCAAAGATAACTATTTAAATCCAATTGCAGTAAAAAGCGAACAGATAAACCGAAATTATTATTTTTTTATCGACGAAGCCTTCAAAAAGACTCATTTTTGCGCGGCGGCCATATTAATTATATGGCTAGTCCTGACGTGTTTAGACACGTTTACGCTTTGATAAACATGTTTGTAAGGTATGAATACTTTTTCACCATCACAACAACGGCCACTTTCACCACCACCTCCACCACCTGCACCACCACCACACCACTACCACCACCACCACATCCACCTCCACCACCACCTCAACACTACATCCACCACCACCACGTGGTGTGGTGGTGCAGGTGGTGGAGTTGGTGGTTGAAGTGGTGGTAAAAGTGGTAGTTGTGGTGGAGGTGGTGAAAGTGGTGGATGTGGAGGTGGATGTGGAGGTGGTGGATGTGGAGGTGGTGGTGCAGGTGGTGGTGGAGCCGTGGAGGTGGTGGTGGTGAATGTGGAGGTGGTGGTGGTGGTGAAAGTGGCCGTTGTTGTGATGGTGAAAAAGTATACATACCTTACAAACATGTTTATCAAAGCGTAAACGTGTCTAAACACGTCAGGACTAGCCATATAATTAATATGGCCGCCGCGCAAAAATGGGTCTTTTTGAAGGCTTCGTCGATAAAAAAATAATAATTTCGGTTTATCTGTTCGCTTTTTAATGCAATTGGATTTAAATGGTTATCTTTGCATCAATCGTTAAATAAATTGGATTTATTTATTTAAATATAACACTTGTAGTCGAGGAGCTAAAAACTCTAGCTCGGGTATAATTCCGGGAGATTATAAATAAATAATGATGTCATTCTATTTATAAAACGATGCGTCATTCTAGATGCTCATGTTTAGCTAAAATAATCAGTGGCTTGGGTGAAATCCGAGGACATAAAATATTTAGAACAAAAATCATTCGTGTATAACATATCTTCCTTACGAACGTTGGTAACGTAGTTGGGTATCAAATGAAACGTTTTTAAAGGTTCTATCGAACGCTTATGATCGATTGTAAGTAAAATCACTCGTACGCATTTTATCCCGGTCTCCCTGACCTCAAGTTCTAAGTGTCAGCTCACTCATTACATGATAACACAACATAGAAATTCTTAAAATACTCCTTACATAATCTTAAACAAATGATGAGATACATATCTAATTTATTTTTACAGGACCAAACATAGCTCTTCATAAAACAGCTATTCAAATACCCGGAAGTTATCAGGATAAAGGTCCGAACGGTAAAAGTTATCCAGCAAGTCTAGCAGTTGATGGTAACAATAACACAGACTTTCTTCAGGGCAGTTGTTCTCATACCAGCGCGCTTTCATATGATAACGCAAGATATGATTTTGCTGAATGGACTGTTGATCTTGGAGCATATTATAACATAACTGGGATTATCATATATAACAGACAGGGTATGTCCTTATAATTGTAAGTAATCATTTTCCCGCTGAGAACGATTCTTTTTTGTTTCCGCCGTCATATTACAAAATAGATTTAGCCTATTTCTTTGTAAAAAGGTGAAATATCTTCTAGGCGACTTTATTTTTTTCTCTTTTTCCATTTTTTCAGAAGAAATAACATTCGAGCTTTTCTAGTCAGTCATGTTGCCAATGCCCGTTCCCGTTGTCGAATACAAACATTAAAATTTGTCCTTTTTTCATTATTTTTCTTTTATTTTTTTATGACTTGTGTTCATACTTGTACACAACAACCCTCCGTCCAAGACCTTGTATACGTTCTCTTGAGCATCGCAGATTATATTTTTCAAAATTTACTAAATTTTCAAATAAACTGACTTAGGAGACCTTTTATTATTTTTATATTTACTTAATTCATTGCTGAGGAAAAAAACATGAAAGTGACCCTAAATGTTAACACTGCATGTGAGTCATTTATTGAACAGCATAATGTTTATATTCTTTATTTATCTGCATACAAAACAGTCAATATTAAGTGACGCTAAATGTTTCTTCACGCTTGTCAGCTATTGATTTTATATTTTCAACATTAATGAAGATATCATTGTCTTTATGTTGTTTTGATTGCTTTAATATCTTTTGCACTTATTCTTGTAAAGTTTATGCTATATCTAAATAACATCGTTTTATTATTAATTCATTCGGATTAAAAACAATAGCCGTAAAATACAATACGAAATGAGACAACACAGTATTTCTGAGATGCTTCACATCCGCTCCTACATTTTTGTAAACATTTGGCGATTTCCTATTAAAATATGCTACAAAAATATAGAAAAACAATGACAACATGCAGTACCCTCAACACACAGACCTCTCTTGTATCAGGTAATCACTTAACCGACTAACGATACTTTAAATTCAGTTAGCTTCAAACAGAAGACTGTACTTAAGATCCTGTCACACTAGACTCCGTCTTTACTGCGTTTGCACGGCGTTCGTAAATTTAACAAAGCGCCGCGAGATCGCAAGAAAAATCTGATATTTTTGATGACATGGATACTTCACGGCGTCATCACGGCGTCCACTGCGTTGTTTCGACAATGCCATGGTGTTGTAAGCGTCCTTACGGCGCTTTAATTGGCGATTGTCTGCGTTTGGACTGCGCTTCTACTGAGTTCTTTGCGCTTCCACTGCGCATTCACGGCGCTCACATGGCGCTCTCGCAGCGCTCACACTGCGAAATCGTGCTTCATATACCAGCGATTACTCATTCTAAAAAGTTGTGTACCTGCTATGGAAGGATATTAACGCCAAAATTACATCTTGCTTTCTTACTTTACATCGTGCTTTCTAACTTGTACATCTTGCATTCTGACTTTTACATCTTGCATTCTGACTTGTACATCTTGCATTCTGACTTATGACATTCGTCATTCATGCTGAGTAAATAGACCCAAATACAAAAAGTTGCAGGTTAAGTTATTGAATTACATTGTAATATACCAGATCAACAAATGAATAATAATTGATCGTTAAATAACGATATCAACATACAATTAAACAAGACGCACACAGCAGAAAGCATAATGTGCATGTAAGAAAGCAACATGTAAAGTCAGAATGCAAGATGTACAAGTCAAAATGCATGATGTACAAGTCAGAATGCAAGATGTACAAGTCAGAATGCAAGATGTACAAGTTAGAAAGCACGATGTAACGTAAGAAAGCAAGATGTAATTTTGGCGTTAATATTCTTCCATACCTGCTGCACCTGCAGGCAAGCAAGCAATATTCCAGCTTGCTACCGTTCATCACCCGTGGTTAAAAGGACATAAACTTGCAATCACGTTTTACATATACATTAAACTCTCTATTAAGACCACCAAAGAGACTGAACTGAAGTGAAGTTAATTGCCGGTGGCTTAATTGTGGCTTTAATTATCAAGGCATATACTAGGAATGAAAGTAAAAATAATTATATTTGACATTTATTCAATGATTAATCAATTTGATGTGTAAATTTCAGATAAATAATCCGTATATTTTATCCGAAATGATAGTTTTCAGAAATACATGTATAGCTGATCGCCCCAGCTCATTGGTAACTTACGTTACGTCATGATGTTGGCGTTACATCTTCTAAAAAAAACGCAGCCCCAACTTCTACACATCGTTCATGCCTGTGTATCTACTGGCTGAAAATGTTCTTATAAAATGAAATGAACGCAACACAGACAATGCCCTTGACTGTGAATCATGGAGCCCGGTAAACTTGTGTCCCTTTAACTCTGCCTTCAATTTCACTTGCATAACGTTCGCATCGCAACAAGTTTCGGTTGGTCTGCCGCATCTCTTATCATCCTGAAGTTCTTTTCTACCCTCATGGAAGCGTTTATGCCACTTGTGAATTAGCAAATGAGACACGTTTTTTGTTCCAGATGCAATTTCCATGTTTTCTTTAGTCTCCTCCTGTAGCGTCATACCAAGATTTACACAGAACTTTATTACTGCCTCTGCTCAAACAACGTCGCGCTCCTATCTGGCGTACATACCCTTGTCTTCATTGACATCTCCAACAAACAAAAGAAATCGTAGCGACGTTTGTTTTTTTAAGTGTTCTATAAACGTTATGAAAGAATGTTGAAGTCATTATCGTATAATAAAGAAGGGCACCAAAATAAGGACAATTTTTAAGTATTTTAAAATGGATATTAAAACTTTTTTTAAGCTGCGGCGTTCGTACGGCATAGGGTTGCTATGGTGATACATATAATCAACAAAATGAGATTTTTAAAAAAAAAATCACAACATGTTTGTATTTAATTCTTCTCCTAAATAGCGAAAATTATTTATAATATCTTGATAAATTATTAAGTTATTAATAGCGTCCATGAATATATTGACCAACCCTCGTAAATTTCATGGCCACTCTGTTAAAACATGTTAAAACAATTATATTATAACCTTCAAATATTACTATGAACTGATGTTATAATATTTAATCTTAATTAGAGCGTATGTCTGAAGATATTTAATATCAAATATCAAAATTCCATAAGTCTTGCTTCATGTACAAAATTCATCTATTAATAAAGAAATTAATTCTTCACAAAATAAATGTGCAGAAAGCATTGAATCACCCTGAAGTTTATTTTCTCACCTTAATACATATTTTCCAATCATAACAGTTTTAACACCTTGTTTTATCACGTGTCATGCTTTAGAGAATTCAAGCAGATGAATAATATTCATACTTTATTTTTGTCTCATTCGTATACATACATTTTTATACATATTTAAAAATATTCACATAAAATCTGCATACGACCATTCTATTTAAGAATTTCAAGAGACATTATATCAATGATAAACATATTCAAGACCTATTACAGTTAGACTAAAATCAAATAGTTAAATTACAATGTATATAAACAAAATATTAAAAGTAAGGTAACTGTAACATTTATATTTTCTATTTGGATGGCTTACTAGCACACAATCTAAACAAAACCCGAAGGATGGTTTATATATTTTATTATATGTGTTGCATCCAAGTATACACTCATAAACTCCCAAACATCAAGTAAACATATACACAGTAACAATAACGATATTTGATATTAAAGGCGTGGCTTTATCTTGTAGACTTGCTTACTACAGATAACCATCGCTAATCGAAAAATAAAAACTGCTAAGAAATTGAGAATTGTAAATCGGAGCACTAACGCGCGTATAAAAACGTTTTAAAAGATCGATTATCATCCAAGATAAGATCTTGCATGACCCGATTAGCAATGATTACCTTAACCTAGGTAAAAATACATTATCATGTTTAAAGCAAGTATAATGGCATTATTTAAAAGAAAATAAAAGACGACGTTGTAGAATGTTAAAACAGGTTTTGGCAAAATAACGTATCATTTCAGTTTTAGTGAACAGAAATATTAATTGTTCATTTTTAGACATTTGTACAAATGCATTATCTACCGTTTTAGCCTTATCAAATAATGATTGTCACAAGTCATCGTACACAAAGCAATCAAGAATGACATGGTTTTCGTCTTCAATACTGTCACAGAACTGGCATTTTCGTTCCAATACATCTAAGCCTTCGTAACGCCCAGTTTCTATGCGTAAAGGCGCAACACCACAACGAAACTTGCTAAATGCAGTGCGATGACAAGGATGCATAATGAGTTTACAATACAATTCTGTCTCATATTCTGTTTTAAACAGTCGATATGTACGCAACTTATTGCCACCACGACCAGAAGGACCTGTGACACTATTCAAAGATTCGAGCCAGTTTAAAACAAATTTTTCTTGCAATTTAGTTGTAACTTATTCACTATAGTATGTTTTGGAATGGAAATTCTTATATCACTATATTGGTATGCATTACAATTTTTTAACATATCATTAACATAGAAAAACCAGTTTTTACATGATCTATTTGCTGCAGATGCAGTACAAAGTGCAACTTGTTTGTTTTCTCTACAATCAAGCATATAAGAGAATCTAGATAAATGGATAGCAATGGATTTCCACTGTCTGATTTCTGGGGGTATCCATCCCATTTCACCTGAAACCGCGACGTAAGGCGTATGTATATCTACCGACACCTAAAAAGAAGCACATAGCGCGAAACTGCACTGCGTTAACGCACGAGTAAGAGCGATCACACCAGATAGCAGAACCATAACTGATTGTTGGCCTAACAGTTGAATCATACAGGTGCCGTAACATTGAAATCTAAGTGCTCTTGCAACATTAATCCAAAATACATATATCTATCAACGATATTAAGTGTGTGAACACCACATATAAAACTGAACGATGTTCTACGTATAGATAAAGGTCTAAAATGGACAATTTGACTTTTACTACTATTTATAAACATATCGTTGGTGCTACACCAGTTGTTAAGTGCATTTAATAAACATTGCAAATCTTTCTAATCTTTTGCCAACAAGACAATATCATCTGCATAAAGTAACATTCATATCTTATCAGATCCATAGTCAACACCAATATCAAGAGATTTTAGGTAAACAGCAAGATCATTTATATATAAATTAAACAAAAGGGGAGATAATATACAGCCTTGCCGTAATCCAGACTTAACAGTAAACCAGTCAGTATGTTTAGAGTTAATTCTTACACATGAATATACAGAATCATACAAAGATTGTACATTTTACCTTTTATACCTATGTCATACATTTTTTTCCATAGTAAATCTCTATTTATATAATCATATGCCTTTTTAAAATCAATAAAAGAAGCAAATGTAGACTGTTTACGTTTTTTCCTAGTATCAATAATATTTGTTAGCGTAAATAAATGATCAATAGTGCTTCTTTTCTTTCTATACCCATTCTGTTCGTCAACAATGACATCTCGATTTTCAGCCCAGTTACTTAGTCTATTATTTAATATAGCACAATAGAGTTTATAAACAGAACAAGTTAAAGAAATGCCCCTATATGATAATGGGTTTCTTGGATCCATACTTGCGGACTTAGGAATAGGGTTAATGACACTTTTACCCCAAATATTTGGAATAGTACCACTTTTAAAACATACAATAAACAGAGCGTGCATAAACATAACAGCAGTGTCATTCTTTAAGGCTTCAGTGGGTATTCCATCTATACCATTGGCTTTTCCAAGTTTACCTTCATCAATAACTGTTTTGACTTCCAAAACAGAAATATCACTATTAAAACTTAGTGTATCATAATCACCATTTACAATATCATACATGTTATCAAAAGATACATTTGGACTATTAAACAAATTGCCAAATTCTATTTTCTATTTAAGTAAAACATCACTAGGATCCGCGGACACAGAGCCGTCAGCCAGAACAACTTCATCAGGAATTATTTTCTTGTTTGCTTGCGTTATACCAATTCTACCAACAGATTTCCAGAAACTAGAACGATCAACATTACATTCATTTAATATATCCTTCTGAAGGTTGTACCAGTGACGGCGCTTAGCCCTTTGGACTTCAGCATCAAACTCTTTACGGATACTAACATATTTAGCTTTAAAAGAAACTCTATCAGCTCTATTATAACATTGCAACCACTGCTTTTCTGCAATTGAAAATTTACACCAAAGATCACTAAGATTATCCGTCCACAAAGGTTTACCTGGACGACGTATTTTAGAACCCGTGCCAGGTCCTATCTTTATAGATTTATAAGGTACATTTTCATACATAGCATTTTTAACAATTTCACACCATTTGTCATAGGCTATATTTACGTCATTTTGTGTGCGCATACCTTGTTCCAATGTATCAATCGTACTATTGACCTCTGACAGAATATCACTATTATACAAAAAATCATTACTAAAATAGCTTCTGTCAAATTTATCATAAGAATCACTAGTATTACCAAAATGTTCAGTTTTTTTACGTGTGATATTGCATAATATATTCCAGGATAAAAGTGAGTGGTCAGGTATCGACGACGAAGCAATTTAAATAATATTCTTACAATTATTGATAACATCTGACGTAAGTGTAACACAGAAATCTGAAAAATGGTCTATACTGTCATGTGGCACCAGACAATAATCAACAACCGATGCTCCTTTCACCGAAACAGACGTAAAATCATTATTTGTACAATTTCTACCATTCGATATACAGAAATTAGAGTTAATAAAAAAATCAATCAAAATTTCACCATATGCATTTACAGTATAGTCTTTTACATCTCGACTAGGAATCTGATCAATACCAGTAATATGATCATCTAGTTCTCCGACGCGACTGTTAAAATCACCACAGATAAATATACGACCTTGCGTCTGAAACAAATATATATCAGTCAACAATTTGTCATAAAAATGATTTACATCGAAAAAACGAGATGAATTTTGTGGTGGTAGGTAGCAAACACATGGATAAATATTCATGTTTTCAAACTTGTAGGATAATTTTAACTATAAAATACCTTCTGAAGAATTATCAGCAATATAAACCCTTTCTGTTATTTTCGGCGTATTTGCCATATGGACGGCTTTAGCCGTTTCTATAATAATAATAGTAGTAATAATAAATTAATAATAATAATAATAATAAATATAAAGAAAATTATACCATCAACAATAATTATAATTATACTGACAGATTTGGAAACATATTTAAATATTATAATACTAATAACAAATAATAATAATTATATTAATTAATAATATAGTAATTTTTTAGAAAACCCTTTGGCAAATAGGTGATCAATAAAACAATAACCCTCTGGTTAATGTCAAATGTTTCGAAAAGAGATTCTTTTACAAGAAATCCAACACCTCCAGAGCCGGTCCGTGCATTTTTATGTATATTTGCTCTTTTAAGACCAAACCAACGATAACCATCAATTGTTAAAACATCTCTTTTAATAAGATGAGATTCGGCTATGCCTAAAATGTCAAAATTATTGTCTAAAACACATTCGACTCTAAGTTTAAAATTATCAGAGTTACTATCAAAATTCCATCCGTTAACGTTCCAAATCCGGCACGTAACTAATCGAAATACCTCCTGCCACCACGATTCCATCCACGACCACCATTTCCACGTTGCCCGCCGTTTCCACGTCCGAATCGCCGACCATGGTGCACAGACCTGAAAGCACCATCACGGTGCCTGTTACCATGATCAGTCCTATCAGACCGATCCCCTCGGTCTCTGCGATCGTGAGAGTCATCATAGTTCCCGGAATCTTCCCGCTGATCACGTGCGGTTGAACCGTGATGTTTGCTGCCATTGGAATCACGATCCTGAGAACTGCTGCTATCGTCACGAGACCTACGTGGAATAACGCGCGATCCACGCACTGTGAGGCCGTGTGACTTCATTGCATTCAGAATGCTCCTGAAGTTGCAAGCAAGAACTCGGTCAGCCGGAGCCTGATCATGCTGAATAAACACATTCCCATACTGCTTACAAAAGTTAAACGATGCCTTTTTTGACATGATTTTACGCTTATCGTCATGCGATTTCAATTTTGCAACAATAACACCAGACTTATTTGGCTTTCTAGATTTCTTTCTATCAGCAGCGACACATCTGACATCACTAACACGAAGACCATCTTTGAAAAGTTTGTCAACTTTGGATTTCACATTCTCATTTGCAGACTCCGGCAGATTGCGTATTACAATATTCAAAGTTTTGTCATCACCCGAGTCATTTGGGGCCGAAGCACTACTTACTGATGCAATAGACACAATCTTGGCACTTAAAACATCAATATCTGCCTTCAAATCTGCCTCAATAGCCATCTTTGCATCTTCAATCTTAGTGTCAACAACGTTACGAATACGTGTCATCTCAGTGTTTACACGTTTATCGAGTACCTTGGCAACTTTTTCTGAAATCTTCTGCTCCAGTCCATTCTCCATCTTCTCAACGCGTTCATTAAGGGAGGAAAACAGCATGTGCATATCAGCCGATAAAGTTGCTATCAGCTGTACAACAGATGCATTGCCATCAACATGTATGTCAGCTGACGTCACAAGAACTTGGCGTGGTTTCTGAGGTGTATCCGTGTAAAGAGACCGTTTAGCGTTAGCTTCAATGCGTTGCTGTTTCTTCACAGTTGTCGCAATATCTGGTTCAGATAAATGACGCTTGCGTTCAGAAGTTACAGGTGTATTAATTTTCGTGATAAGCTGTGAAGCCATGATCGACTCTACGTACTCCTCTGCCTCGCATGTACTGTTCAAATCCGCTCCAAATTTAGCGTTTTTCATATCTTAGTCGAGCGTAAACTGACGAGCGAAATGTTCCAATGTGTACTCTAGTACTCTGCTGCGCTCAAGTCAAGCGTGACGAATCGCCAATCAAGTGGACAGGCTATCGATTTATTATACAAGTCAATGACTGTTACTATAAATAGCTAAATTCAGGTAGTACATGTACAATTTAAACTCATCAAATCTTCAAAATGTCAAAATTTTCACCTCTGATTAATCCATATAACTCCAAGCACTATATATATCACATAATCACTCTTTATAGTTCACAAAACCGTCTAAAACACACGAATTATCCAAATCTATCTGACAAATTGTAAACAAGACTAACGATGTCAACCTAAGATAATAGAAACGAAAAAACTACCGAAAATTAATTAGTCTCAGGTTAATATTACCAAACAATACCACTCGAACTGTAAATGTATGTAATATACATGTATTGCATGATTTTTTTACTTCCAATCGTTTTAATTTATTATTCAGACAGAAAATGTTTGTAAAATACACGTGGTTCTTATTTAGATACAAGTTGTTTTCTAAGAGTTTGAAAAATGAACCTCGTTCAGCTGTGACTTAATAATAAATGTGATATTCATTTTGAAATATGTTTTAAGTTTCAGATGTAGATCTACATTATCGCCTTAAAGGTTTTCAGGTGTTTGGATATAGATACATGGCATGCGTTGGCGGTTGGTGTAAAATCTTTGATGATAACCAAACTAATAAATATAATCAAGACATAATAAATATCAGCTTGGACTCTGTGCAATCATTCACTAAAGTAGCTATTAAGTTACCAAAGCGTCAATCAAGGGATGATGATAATATTTACTTGACCCTTTGCGAAGTAGAAATATATGCAGGTATTAAATTAATTGTTGTAATGAAAAGTGTTAAGCTGAAATTAAGTGAATTCGTTTATACATGTTTAACGTATTGTTTAAAAACTATAAAATTTTGTAGATTCTCTTAAAACAGTAGGCTTTAGAACTAAGATTACTAGCCTGTTTACCTATATTATCTATTAGGTGCAGAGAACCATACAATTAATTTCATGAATATTTAATGTTTATTCTTAATTTAAATTTAATATTTAAGCAGCATTTACTAATGGTGTGTTCATGCTTTGTAATTGTTTTCGTAGAGGTTTGTGAACAGATTAATGTAACACACGGAACAACGACACCAGATAAACCACTTTTCAATGTCAATGAAGAGGCTGAAATTCACTGTGAAAAAGGTTTTGAAACAAATAATCCAAAAATTATATGCCTGAAAAGATCAAATTCATTTGCTTGGGATAAGCATCCCCAATGTAACATAGTAACATGTGCCCTCCCAAATAAGCCAACAAATGGATATTACAAGACATATGGGACAACGATGGGAAATAATCTACCTTTATCGCTGCCTTTTGGAACCATAATTAATGTTGTATGTGATAAGGGATATGAAAGCATTAACCAGTCGTCATTTATAACGTGTCAAAGTGACAAGAAATGGAGTGATTATCCTCCAACTTGCACGAAAATAAAATGCCCCTATCCACGTACTATACATAATGGTAAATATAAATTTGCAAACAAAACAATTTATAGTGGCGGTCCTTCCTATTATAATACGACTATACAAGTGACTTGCAATAAAGGTTATTCTCTCAATGGAGACGATAAACGGATCTGTAATGAGCAAAATATGTGGACCGGAAACTCAAGTTGTCAGATAAATGAATGTGAATCTCCGAAAAAACCTGAAAATGCTATGTATATAGAAACAGAAATCAATGGCTTAATTTCACATTATACAAATGGAAGTCTCCATTACCTTGATCAGATACGCGTTATTTGTCGCCATGGATACGTGAATAATGCATCTGCTCCTGTTATACAATGTTTAGAAACTAAGTTATGGAGTGGGAAAATAGGCCACTGTAATTTAGTTACATGTAAAGGTCTTGAAGGATTAAACGGTGGTTTTTATAACTACTCAAAAGAAGAGTTTGCTAATGGATACCCTTACAGTACAGTTGTAACAGCAGCTTGTAAAGAACCGTTTCAATTATCGAATCCTAACAACAGAAGTAGAAAGTGTAATGCAAATGGGAAATGGGACAGTGAACCAGTCACATGCAGTAAGTCTTTTAATATGTATATATTTATTTGTTGTTTGACGAATATTTCATGTGTATATCAAACAATCCTATAGAACAACATTTCCTGTCTATTTAAAAAGGTTGTCAACGTATTTAGATATTTAAACAGTATAAAATAAATGCCTTATCCAAAACAAAAACACGACTCTACAAAAGGTATTAAAATTCCATAACTTGTGCAAACGTTACGTACTACTCTTGTTATGAGAATATATTGTCTCTACTACTGATTAGCTATAATTTTACTAAGACAGAACCGAATTTTTGTTTGGCAATACTCACCTGAAATCTATATTAATTTTCATTTCTTATGTGTTTAATGTTATTAGGGTTGAAAAACTCGATCTTATCACTCCCCGATGGTGATGTAAGCTAAGCAAAATTCTTATTGTTGGAAGTTCGAATCCTCTACAAGTCTTTGTAAAAACGCATTACTCTTTTTGTTCCCCTTAAATAAAAAAGTATGGAAATTGAGTTGATTGTCGGATGTAATGTTATACTTTTGATTCACTAATATTACTTTTCATTAATTACGTAAAGTTGTTCAATGAGTGATTTGCACGCCATATAATAAAGGTATACTAGATAAAGTGGTCAAGTTTTGCAAAGCGGATTAAAAAAACAACAACTAATGTTATAGATATATTCGAACCCGTAGTCTGAAAGTCTAGCACTTAGCTAGTGAGGCTCTTTAGATAAGTGATATGTTTACAATTCTAAGTACATATGTAATTCATATATGACCTTCTTTTAAACTTTGAAAACCGATAGTTACTGAATATTCGCAAGTTTCCGGTCAATATATAATTGACATTATGCTCATTAAATTTTTCATCTTCAAGTTAAGTTGAATTAAATATTGGTCATTCATCATTACATGTTTAACAGTCAATGTTTTGATATAAACATTGACTGTTATACTGATGATTGACCAACAGTTGATATTGAAAAAATGTTTAGAATAAAATATCAATATGTTTAAAATATTAAAAGACAGCCCAACTCTTTTTTAAAAATAAAACGTTAAAGGTAATTTCCGATGGATATTTTTAGAAATTTTCTTGGGCCATGCAATTTATTGATCTTTCATGTAAATAGATAGTAAAATTGAAATGAATAATGGCAAAATGTAAACTTATTTTGACTTTCACCAGATCACTTACTATATACTCTTGGATGGGCATAACGCCACTTTAATATTACAAATACCAAAACATAGTTCAATTTTGCTATATTTTCTAATATATAGGTTAATAAACAATTATGAAATAATAGTTTTTCGGTTATAACATAAATATTTGTTTATAATGAACAGTACAATTTGAAGAAGCTGCTTCACAAAGTACAAACGCACCATTAATAGGAGGTGTTACTGCAGCTGTTGTGGTAATTCTGAGTGTAATTGTAGTGGTTGCTTTCTTTTTATATCGGAGGTAAATATCTTTTTATATCTTTATAGATAAAATACTTAAATGACGCTAGAAACTTATGTTATTTAACACTAAGTCAACTAACATCAATGTATTTTAAAGCATCACAAATTGACCCTAAAGGTTTTCGTGTTTTGTCTTGTTTTGTTTTGAGCTCAACTTTTCATAACATAGGTTATTGTTATGTACAGTCATGCCATCCAGAAACTTGAACAGTGGACATATTTTGTTTTAACCCTCTTAATGGAGTGTTTTCATATTTGAACACAACAGTCCTATGGAGAAGACCTTAAAAAGACAAGATCAAACTTGACTTATAAAGTTCCTTGACCTTTGTTGTAGAATTCTTGAATTTTTCTTGAATATTGCCATAGTTGTCTATAACTTTGTTATTTATGAATGGTCTTCATACTTGGACACAAAAATTCTTTGGTCAAGACCTTTATACAGACCGACTTGACGATGACTTTAGATTATCAAGGTCACATTGTTGAATTTTATTTGTTGTTTGCTGTGACATACTATAAATTTGTTATTATATGAATTGATTGTCTTCATTATTGACCTTGACATTGAAGGTCATTTTTTAAATCTGACAGTTTTTTGTTTTTGTTTTTTAGTGCTAAAATTGGCAATAACTCTGTTTTTTATGAATGCATTGCCAGATACAACAAAACCTTACGATGAGTTAATGAACTTAACATTAACCTTTAATTGATATTGACCCTAAAAGTCAGATAAGTCTGGTCATTACATTTGGTCAAAACTTTGGTTTGATTTATATTTGGACAAAAGAACAATAATTTAAGACTTACATAATAATTTGACCTCGACATGTTCAATCGGCATGTTAAATTATTCTCACATGATTTTGATCTACATTTGACCTTGACTGTCGAGGTCAAATTATTGGACTTTGATTAAATTGTTATAATTTTGTTATAAATTACAGATTTCGTTTATACTTTGGTATATATAAATATCATATGATAATACCAAAATGTTCAATAATTCGAACATTTCCTTGATCGTAAGACTTTTTGACATAATTGATATTTGAAAAATAAAATAATGTACTTTACGGTCTTTAAATGGCATTGCATGGTGCATTAATACTTGTTTTTTGCTAAATATTTTTACTTTTTTCTATTTATGTTTGGCAAAAGATTAATCATAACAATCGACATGATGATTAATTCAAATGTCAAGGTCATTGACCGTCAACATCAAATCATTAAATTGGGCTTAAATTGTCATAACATTGTAACTTATAATTAAAAATTGTAATGGACAGATTTGACAAAACTACACTTATGAGATACCGAATATTAAATGTGCACGCTCCACTCTTATAATGCTGGATACTTACATTAAAGAAACAAAGAAAAGTAGGCACATTTCTGAAATAAATTTCTTATTAGACAGACTTATCTGCCCCTAATTGAAAATAATTATCTCTTATATGAAGTGATGCATTCTGAAGTAAATGTCTTTAGCGTTTTTTTTTGACAAAAAACAAATATTCAAGACAAATATCTTAAGTAAAGAGGGGGAAATAATTCAGCAAACCTGGCTTTTTAGATTATATGCCCCTTAGAAGTGCACTTTGAATTTGATTGTGAAAAAACACTCTCCTAATCTTTGATACCTTTCAAGAAATGTACCTTAAGAAATGGATTTTCAAGAAATATAAAGTCTAAAGTAGACATAACTGTGCAAATCTAGATTGATAGGTCACCTGCCCTCAAGAAATGCATTTTTATTTAAATACTGAACAAATATTGAATGTTTAAAGTAATTAACTTTGACAGTCTGAGAAAAATTGACACCAGAAACAAGTAAAAGAAAAGTATTAAGTAAATTGTAACAACTTATGATAATGCTTTGATATCAAACTTTAATACGTAAAGCGAACATCTCAATGCACTTTAACTTATTAATAATGTATTGATATTAAACATGATCTTAATTAAATATCAAATTAAAGGAGTGGAAGAAAGGATAATAATGGAAACCCAAAGCCGTATACACATTTGTGGAAAAGAGACACTAATGAAAGACAAATTTCAAACTCACAAGATGATGTGTATTCGGAGATTCAAGACACGAATATCAATACCATTTCTGGTAATATCTTTTGTTTTAATGTACTTTAAAATTCTATTTTTAATTTATTAATTAGTGTTTGTTTGAGCAGATAAAAGTGACGGAAAAAGAGTTTCTTCCAAAATAACTACACAGCGGTAAACTGTGGAACTGTGTGTCATCCTATACACGTAGAGTATTTGATCCTTATATATATTTTTTTATTAAAAAAATGAAATTTAGTATATTTAATGTCATCAGAAGTTTGTGTGTTGCTCGCATTTCATCTAACCATAGTAATACAACTAAAAATGCAAATAATCATTACATAATAATTAAAATAAAATACTTTATCATAACACATAAACGAATAACGCATTTAAGCTCATTTGCTTTAGAAAATACGTATTCAAAAGATGTTTCACCAAGTGATGTTACGTACAGCTACGTAAAGAAGACGACGACAAACAAAAATGTAATGAAGCATTCAAACCAAAGCTTGGATTCATTACAGACAGAACCTTACTACAGCTTCACAAATGTCAACAATGTCCCTAAAACAGCAATACTTGTGAAAGATCTTTCTGATCTAATTCTGACAGGCTCAGATGCCAAACGGAAGTTTGAGAAAGAGTTCAACGTAATACATTTATATTATTTATCCGCTTGTGATAAATTTAAAGGAAAATAAAAACATTTAAATATTTTGATAGATTTCACTTGATGAATTGAATCATGTAAAAATAAATGTTTGTCAATTGACTAAAACAAAATATGTTTTCATATAATTGTTTTTGGAACTTTATATTATACCTTAAGATTTCAAGCTTTATATATCTATATAGACGTAAAACTGAACACTTCTTATTCAAGTGTTTGCTTTATAAGAAAACTATTTTATACTAATGTATACTCTGTTATCATTCCGTAGTCATTATCTTACTTAAATATGGCTAATATGTAAATTTACTTATTGCAACTATTACCATAGTCATACAAAATATAATGTAAATAAATATCTTAAAATGCAAATAGTATATTTCAAACTTATTTTCAAAACTTTGCTTTTTTCATCCCTTCAGGAACTCCCTCAAGGAATGATTCAACCTCACAAAGAAGCATTGAAAAAGAAGAACATAATTAAGAATCGATATAGGAACCTCTATGCTTGTACGCTTTATATATTTGTTTATCTGTATGGTATAGCTATTTAATTGTTACACATAGAAAATGCTTAAATTACTTTATGATTCTCTTCTCCTTTCTGCACTCAAGTACAAACTTTTTTATTGTTTGACTTAGTATTTAAGAAATGGAAATTACCACTTAGTCGATATATTCATTTCTAAGCTTTTTTCTTTGTATGATATAGATGATGACACACGAGTTGTATTAAAAACTGACGAAGCATCACAGTCGGATTATATTAATGCCTGCTATGTGCATGTAAGTGAAATAAACTATGACAATCTATAAAGTATTCTGTAACAAATATGCCAGTCGTTAGTTGTTTTGTCTGCAAGTTAATGTGTAATACACTCATGAAATCCGTAAATCGTCTTTTTTTTGTTCTTTATTGTTCTTTTTTGTTTTTGATAACGTGTAAATATTTATTAAAAGCTTTCTCCTCAAGTGAACATGTATATAAATAGTGGAATAACACAGATTAAACATGATCACCTTATTTTAAAACGTAAAGTTTAAAGCTCTACTCGCTCTGAAAATCCTGAATTGTTAAAATGTATTTATTGTTTAACTCATTGCCAAGTTCTACAATGTGTGCATACACTTTTATTTCAGGGTTTCACGACATTTAAACAGTATATAGCATCACAAGGTATGTTCATAAATGTTTTCATCATCGTATACAGATATTTTCTAAAATTTTGAATTCTTATAAGTAATTTTAAAGGCAACTCAAACATTGTGATTTATGCATTTTGACTTCTTTAATTTTAGGACCGACGAAGGAAATATTAGTGGACTTTTGGAGAATGATTTGGCAAGAAGAGAGCTCAAGGATTGTTATGCTTACAAATCTGATAGAAGAAGGGAAGGTAAACCAAGCCATAGCATTTTGTCCTTTATAGTATTATATTTTTGTATATGAAATGATAGCGTAGTTAGACAATAATATCAGTTTAGATATCGCTATATGAATTAAAGTTGTTAAAGTTTTCACCGACGCAACCTTGGCAGCAAAGTGAATACACTTCTGTAAAACCGATGCGCATGAAATGTTATTGTCAGCTGTCATGTTTTAAAGAATTCACTAAATTATTCAATATATCATGGTACCCGATTTCTTTAACATGAAATAAAAAAAATCTAATTCCAGGAAAAATGTGAGCAGTATTGGCCAGAAGAAGGAACCAGCCATGTGTTCGGCAATATCATAGTACACACAGAGAAAATTGACAATTTCTCACAATTTGTGAAAAGGACCTTTCAAGTGAAAAAGGTATTTACTTAAAAGTTATATGATACAAAATTGTATTAATTACAGCTCAATGTGTATTGATCATGCTACTAATATTTTTGCACAATTATATACGTTGCCATTTTCATCTTCAGGAAGGTTCGAAACAAAAGTCACGGACAGTGACACAGTATCATTTCACCGCATGGCCAGACAAAGGGGTTCCGAAATATGCATCTTCACTTGTACAATTTACTAACAAAGTGAAATATGACTCAGTCGAACAGAATGGACCAATTGTTGTACATTGCAGGTATGTTATCTTCAACATTTTGCCATTATTATTTGTAGTGGACTTATCCAATACAATGCCTTCATTCTCTGAACATGCTTTTAGCATATCATGTATAAGGTATTTATGCACATTTATTGCATTGTCACAATACCATTTGGCCGATTTCTTTTCGCTTGATTAACCTTATCTAGTCTTAGCCTAGCTAGGTGGGCCTATTATTCAATCATTTATTTGTTTTCTTTGAATTCCTAATCAATTACAAATTATTTATCATTAAGTGATTAACTTAACCTGTCCGTGCTCTGTCTCTTGTTTTGGGTCCGCCTGGGCTCCTTGCCACTGGTTCTTGTTGCTGGGTCGTATGGGGGTTGCGTTCATTGAGCGCCACCTTTCCTTGTTGATCTTGTTTATCATATTTCATGACGTTTTATATTTTCTTTGATAGTGCTGGTGTAGGAAGAACTGGAACCTTTATTGCACTTGACTTTCTGACTGAACAAGGAAAAGCCATGGGCTATATTGATGTTCTTGGAACTATTACTGCGTTTCGGTCACAACGAGTATGCCTTGTACAAACTCTGGTATGGAAAATTTCATTTACATATTTACACTTATGCCTTGTAGAAATAACAGAACTTAAAATATGATTTTGAATTGTTGATTTTCTGAAAATTATCAAATTCTTATCCAATTTTCCAGGACCAGTATATATTTGTTCACCATGCTCTTGTTGAATCTTTGATGCTGCCCACATCGGCACTACCGGCTTATAAATTTCCAGAAGCATTTCAGGAACTACTTCAGATAGACACAAAAAAGAAAAAGTCGAAATTAATTCTAGAGTTTGAGGTTTGTTTATTTACTTATCAACTTAAATAATTTCATTAATATCTTCAAGTTTATCATTTGTTGATTATTCGAATTATAAAACCAAAAAATTACTTTTATCTTATTATTTTAAAAAGCTATAAGTACATACATATTACATATTATATCACAATCTGGAAATAGATGACATCCGTACAAAATACACGTACTTTACAATTTAAGAATGCTTCATAAATTTACAGTATTTAAACAATGCCCGGATTTTCAAAAAAGAAACTGAATTTAATACAAGTAAAATATTTTGTTACAGACTTTAAAGAAAGTATCACCAGTGGCCGATGAGGGTGACTATGTATCATCCAAACTTGTCAGGAACAGACGGAAGAATAGATATTCCAATGTGCTTCCCGGTATGATACATTGTATTACAGCTTTCTTTGTGAACATTTGTGAACATTGTTTATAACTACACTTATATTATCCTGTTAAAACTGCATGCATAGATTCAAGTAACAATTTACATGTTATGTGTGATTATTGACTGACTTTGTAGTATCTTTTACCATATTTCTACTGTTACAGTTTTTTCTTGACATATGGAAGTAATTTAATTTGTTTGCAATCAGTAAATTACTTTTTCTGTTCACTTCAATATGTTTTATTCTTGAATACATTTTCAAAATTTTCATGAAAATGAACATGAATCTGAAGACATTGCTGCAAAATGTGAACACGATTCAAGAACTGCATTTTTTGTCATTTGAATACGTAGATTCTTTCACCATGACATTGTGAAGTTATACGTCAAGATTCAAGTTTTATTAGTGTATCATACAAAAATGCACTCTTAGTATCATTATGAAATACTAATGACATAATGCAAATAGTTACCTGGCGAATTGATGACGAATAAATGCGAATAAATTTTCCTCTGTTTTTACCTAATTCATTTATTTTTCTATAATTCCGGTACAATGCAATTTCTTAACATGTTAAATGATAAAGTTCAAGAATTATTTTACTTTTAAAACATTGAATTAATAATATTTCTTGCGGCTTCTTTTCAGTCGAAGAGTTCACGCCATCTTTGCTGTCAACTCATTTAGATAGTGACAATAGATATATAAATGCTGTATTCTTGCCGGTAAATGCAATATTCAATTATTTTCTTATTTGTTAAATAATATATGTAGTAATGATGTTTGAATATTTTATCTTTTAGAATTATATTTGGTTGACTGTTTTAAGTCGATAATTGCCATTATTCATAGCATTTAATGATACGTATGTATGTCTTACAGTCACTCTCTTTGCTTGTATTACATGTGATAATTGCTCGACTGTGTTCTTGTCAGTTATTGCGTTACTTGATTTATTCATTTCAAGTTAATTTAATACTCTTTTGTTTCAATAAACGCAGGAAAATAGTTAAAGAAGTAGTATGTGTATTTAAGCTTTACTTAGTTTTATTTAGTTTTATATTCAATAACCTCCTTTGTGTTTTCCCTTCGGTTATTTCAATAAATAAATTCTTCTTTACTTTCAATATTTAGAGAGAGAAAACTGTCTACGTGTATATAAATTGTTTTTTATTTCAATTTATTATAAAAGTTTGGTGCAAAAAAACAAAAAAGATGATAAAGTAAAATATATCAAAGTGTAGTAAAAAAGGGGTTATACTGTTGAAATGCCCAATTTACTTTTGGAAATACACGTAACTGGGTCCAAAAGGTAGGAGAACTAAGGTCGCTGACTTCAAATAATTTGACCATCACCGCTTTTAGTTCGAATCCACCACGCATTGACCTTGTATTCTTTTATGAGATGCCGCTATCCAGATAGCTTATTAAAAGTAAACAATTCAAAACAATCTTACAACTTGGACGACATAAAACAATGATGTAACTTTGATATGTAATAACAAAGAAATAATTTATAGTTCACAGCTTATAACATGACTTTTTAGGTCTTTTCATTGTATTAAAATTAATTAATCATAATTTTTATGAACGGTTACATTTGTTAGAGTTACAAAGAAAGAAAAGCCTTTATCATAACACAAACACCGCTGGAAACCACAAAAGAGGACTTCTGGGATCTTATATGGGAACATGATGTCCACACTATCGTTATGATGAACAATATTAAAGAAACTGTGGTATGAAATAAATTGTTTTAAAACATGGCAACAAATGTTAAAAAAATTGATACAAATAGCGTGCTAAGATCGTTTTGGCGTCGTGTTTAAAGATGCTTGCTCTGATGTTTTTTTTTTTATTGCAAATGATGCCAATGTAATTATTTGTTATTAATTATGTTTCACATAGTACTTTGAACTTTCTCTCTTATAAAAGAAGAGTTTTCTAAATGACACGATGAATTATATAGAAGCAATATCATCGGGTCGTCTCATGCGTTTATTTGACAATAATTATACAACATTCCATCTGTAAAACAACTATAACTAATCTCGTTTTATTGCGTTATTTACAAAGCCCTAATCTGTCATAGCTAAGATGTTTTGGGGTTTTACGCATCGACCCCTGACTTTAAGGATGTAATTATTTAGTCATAATTTTTAATACTGGTGACAATTATTTGTTAAGTATTCTGTTTTATGAAATAATGAATTACATGAACGTTTTTTAGAATAGTAATAATACAGTAAGGAAAGAAAGAAAGTTTCTATAATCATAAAAACAGTCATGAGCGCAGCGTCTCGCCTTCCATAAAAATGTTTTGATTTCTTTTAAGTATCCCATAACCATGTGTGACTTCACTTTTTAAGCTATAAAACAGTCTTTAAAAGAATTTACACTTTCACTGGTTACGTATTTAAAATATTATTTTATGTTTTCATAAAGGATTCTGAGAAGTATTGGCCTGAGAAAGGTGAATCTGTTACATTTGGTAACATAGAGATCACCGAAGATGGTGTCGAAAAGAAGAATCATCATCATCTTGTAACACTGTCAGCAAAGAAGCATAAATTGGTAATACAACTATTCCAATTAAATTCAGTGAAGTTAGCTTATCTGATAACTTTGTATCTAAATTCAAAAGACGGAATATATCTTAACCCGACGTTAGATGTTGTGTGTTGTACTTTTAAAAATTTCTTAAATTAACTTACATTGTTTATTTATTGCAAATACTACATAACTTTCGAGATATTTTCTTTTTCAAAAGGATATTTTAATTCAAATGTCGAGGGCGTACATTGTCGTGGTTGATGTAGTTGAATCTCGACGAGAATTGTGGATTTTTTTGTCATGTGAGGAAGCTCTCCAGTTACCTGGCGGAATGTCAGTGCTTCTACTTAAGTAACGGCTTAACAATGTATGGAGAGGCAACTGAGGTCTTCCTTCACCAATAAAGCTGGAAGGTCTCTATATGACCTATCTTGTGTTGGTCCCACGTAAAACCCAGCAACATCAGCATTTAATGTCTTCCTTTTCAAATATTTAGACCCGTAAGATAAAACAAATTCGGTGTGGGGGATGGTCCTACAATCACAGTTTACCAGACTCCCCAGGTGTTATACTAACACTGTTAGAAATTGTTAAAGTATGGCAGCGACAGTCTGGTCATCATACGATTGTTGTACACTGCATGTAAGTTTTTTACTCCCAAGTTTTACTGATTTATAATTACCAAAAAAAAGTTAATCTTAAATATAATACTCATATCATTTCAAATTGAAAGACTTTTCAGAAATGATATTGATACTTTTCTTTCTTTCTGAAGTTAGAAAGAAACACATTTACTATTTACATTAATTAATTTATACATTTCATATACGATATTCTTTATTGCTTCAATAGTCTAACTTTAAATTGAAAAACAAAAATACATTTTTTGTAGATTATTCTGTAAATATTGACGAAAAGCATACAAACAATTTTGAAAATTGCGATGCAGTTTGCTTACTGTATTGACATCAAATTTATACTGTTAGAAAGAAACACGTACACTTTGGACATTATCTAGTTTATACATTTCATATACAATATTGCTTTATTGCTTTAAGAGTCATAGTTTAAATTGGAAACTAATTCACATTTCTGTAGATTTATCTGTAACGAAAGACGTAAAGCATGCATGCAATTTTTTAAAGTCATGCAATTTGCTTACTGTATAGAGATCACATTTATTCTGGCATGGCATGCTTTTCTTGTACATTGAATAATTTTACCAGGAATGGTGTGGACAAAAGTGGTTTGTACTGTGTGATATCAGCAGTTATAGATCGCTTACAGATCGAGCAGGACGTGGCAATATCCCAGGTCATTGAAGAAATGAGGAGCGCTAGAGAACAGGTTATACCCTCTGTGGTAAGCATTGTTATCTGTGAACAAAATATTGATAAAATGGTTGATTTACTCAACAGCCTATAAACAACATATTCGATTGTGTTGTTTTTTGCGCTTTTTACCATGCAATTGTTTTGATAAATAAAGAATCATCAAAAAATTTTATAGTGAATAAATTCGTATGTTCACAGTTATGGATTGAGATTTAAAGTAGTATATTTCGTAGTATATTACAAAATATTGCATATATGATAAATTTTTTTTAAAAAAAATTTTTTTTTTCCCAAAAAAATTTTTTATTCAAAAAAAAAAAACCCGGTTTTTTTTGGGGGTTTTAAAGTAAAAAAAAACCCTTTTGGCCCCCCTAAATTTTTAAAAAAAATTTTTTTTTAAAAAAAAAAATTTTTTTTTTAAACCCTTTAAAATTTTTTTTATTTTTTTTTTAAAATTTTAAAAATTTTTTAAAAAAATTTTTTTTTTTTAAATTTTTTTTAAAAAAAAAAAAAAAATTTTAAAAAAAAAAAAATTAAAAAATTAAATTTTTTTAAAAAAAAAAAAAAAACCTTTTTTTTAAAAAACCCCTTTTTTTTTTTTTTTTTTTTTGGTTTTTTTTGGGTTTTTTTTAAAAAAAAAATTTTTTTAAAATTTTTCCCCAAAAAAAAAAAAAAAAAGGGGGGGGGGTTTTTCCCCAAAAAAAAAAGTTCCCCTTTTTTTTTTTTTAATTTTTAAAAAAAAATTTTTCCCTTTTTTTTCCCCAAAAAAAAAAATTTCCCCCCCTTTTATTTTAAGGGGTTTTTGGGGAAAATAAACCGGGGAAAAAATTTAAAATTTTTTTTAAAAAAAAAATTTTTATTTGGAAAATTTCCCCCCGGTTTTTGGAAATTTTTTTATTTTTGGGGTTTTTTTAAAAATTTTTTTAAAAAAAATTTTTAAATTTAAAACCAAAATTTTTTTCCAAAAAAAAAATTTTCCCTTTTGGAAAAAAAGGGGTTTGTTTTTTTTGTTTTAAAAATTTAAAAATTTTTTAAAATTTTTTAAAAAGGGGTTTCCCCCCAAAAAAAAAAAACCGGAAAAATTTTCCCTTTTTTTTTAAAACCCTTTTTAAAAATTTTTTTAAAAAAAAAAAAATTTGGGGGAAAAAAAATTTTTCCCAAAAAAAAAATTTTTTTTTTAAAAAATTTTTTAAATTTTTTCCCCAAAAAATTTTTTAATTTAAAAAATTAAATTAAAAAATTTTAAAAAATAAATCCCTAAACCCCCAAATTTTCCCCCCTTTTTTTAAAATTTAAAAAATTTCCCGGTTTTTTAAAAATTTTTTTTTTAAATTTTTTTTTAAAAAAAAATTTTTCCAAAAGTAACCCCTTTTTTAAAAAAAACCCCCCTTTTTTTTTTTTTTTAAAAAAAGGGGGAAAAAAAATTTTTTTTTAAAAAAATTTTTAAAAAAATTTTTTTTTTTTTAAAAATTTTTTAATTTTTTTTTTTGGAAAAATTTTTTTTTAAAAAAAAAAAAATTTTAAAAAAATTTTAAAGGAAAAAGGGGGGGCCCTTTTTTTTTGGGGAAAAAATTTTTTCCCAAACCCCGGGAAATTTTTTCCCCCAAAAAAAAAACCCCCCAAAATTTTTTCCAAAATTTTTTGGGAAAACCCCCAAAAAAAAAAAGGCCTTTTAAAAAAAAGGTTTAAAAAAAAAAAAAAAAAAATTTTAAAAAAACCCTTTGGAAAAAAAATTTTTTTAAAATTTTTTTTTGTTAAAATTTTTTGGGTTTTAAAAAAATTTTAAAAAAAAAAAATTTTTTTTTTTTTTTTTTTCCCCCTTTTTTTTAAAAAAAACATTTAAAGGGAAAAAGGGGTTTTTTTGAAAAAAAACCAAAAAAAAATTTTTGGTCTATAGTAAAAAAAAAAAAAAAAAAATAAAAAAAAAAAAAAAAAAGGGGGGGGAAAAAAAAAAATAAAAAAACTGGTCTATAGTAACAGTATATCAAATCAAAAACTGACAAATTGATAAATTGCACTTTTAGCATCTTTAAAGAGAAAGCAGAGCTAAATGCAAAATATTTGTTTTTCATATGACACGTTTTTAAAATTGTGACCTGTATGTGATCTATGTTGAAATAACACTGTATCAATTGTTTGGGGTATTATGACATATGTCACTGTTATCATCAAGCCAAAACTATGACGATGTGCAAGTTGGATATTGGCCTCGTGTATCGGACAGAAAGTTCGGGAAAGACCTCGTACTCTGTCGAAATTCTATGCATGCTATAAACTTTATTTGGGTTCAGTGTCCCTGCTTATCGTTTTGTCGAGGCTGTCATTGAGGAAAACAGTTACCCAGTAGAGTCAATCATGAAAGTGGACATGAATGCGCTGACGAAATAACAATTTTATATTTATTGAACCTTTTAATTGAATGGAATGAAAACATAATGATTATGTTTATGAAAGGCTTGTGAAAATCAATGAACAGTGGTTCACAGTGTTCATTATGATTTGATTTTCTTTACGTGTGATGTTACTAGAATTTTTTTATCACTGATTCCAGTGTAAGGAAATGTGAGTAGCCCAGATTTTGATATAATTCAGATGTCATTTTACAATATTATTTGTGAGATAGACTTGTATACATATATGAGTTAAAGCGAGATATATACTGAAAAAGTATGCAATAATTTGGTATTTTTCCTGAGAGATACCCTTTGTGAAAATTTGCTTGTGTTACTCACACAATTTTTTTTTAATTTATTTTAATGATGGTTATTTTGAGAAAGAAATGTGTTGGAAGCTATTAACTGTTTTAGAAACTCTTGAAACCCCTGTATGACGTAGTGTTTATTTAGAAATAAACACAATTATATAAGTAAACTTAATGATATTTGAAAAAAAGTGCAAAGCTTAATGATATGAGCAGGAGACTTCCGTGTCTTATCTAGGTATTCAAATGAATCAGCAACATCCTGTTGTGGTGAAGATGACGAATGATTTCGCTATAGCAACGTATATATTTTGTATGGTCATTCTCTATTAAAATCTTCTTAAGTCTAGCGACTCATCACAAATTGATGGTGATTGTAAAACAATCAAAGTGGTTGTTTATATGTTTTAACATATTTGTCTGTCTAAATCGTACGTGACTTTGAAGAACATGCTTAAAAGAGTGAAAAGAACATATATTATATACGGAATTTGTGTTGTTGTTACGTTAACGTTCAAATAAGCATTACATTAAATCATTAAATGTATAACCACGACGACAATGCTTTCAACGATCACTTTTAAGTATATACCTTTAAGTTTTGTGGTAAATATAAAATCATTTGAAGAAATACGAAAATACAATATCACCTTTTGTATTTCATACTTTATGAAATGTTTTCTCAATCGCCAATCGTAATAATCACGAAGCTAGAACTACAGAGATCTACATATGGTTTCAAGCAGGTGCCGTGTGATAGCTGTAAAAGATGCACCGTACTTCTCTTCGGTGTTATACTTTTCTGGTCCTTTCGAAATTATTGATTTCAACACTTTTCAGTATTGAAAAACTGAGCGCCGCTCTTGATTCCAACACTTTTGAGTGTTGAAAATTAAGAACCGCTCAAGCCGGTGCTACGGGACGTTATGAGTGTTGCACTCTTTCATTATCCTTCATGTACAGGCTCAATCAAACCGAGTCTGCAAATTTTCGTTATAAATGCTTCAGAGGGATCACATTTTGTCCCGACGTCTTTTGTTGGTTTGCGTCCTGAAAACCACTTTAAGTTTACAATATGTCATTGTTTTACTGGAGACAAAATATTGTCCAAAATGTATGGTTTAACAAAATGAGAAACTATGTTAACAAAAGGGCATACATTTCACTTAAAGATATATTATGCTCATCCTTGAGCATAATATTTAATCACAAAAAATGTACTGAAATCCATGAAAATTTTAGCGAATATGTCTTATTGGAATAGAATAATATATACACTATACATGGGAAGCTGAAACTGCATTCTTTATTTACAGTTCGTGTAAAGTTAGTCTTTAAAAAAGCAACAACAAAGACTGCTAGTTTTTTAATGACACTATATATTCATTTATTCTGACCACCTACAGTTTGTAGAATTTTAGACATTACATATCTGCTTTGTGTGAAGTCAAAATATTTTTTTTATATGTACAAAAGGACTGTGTAGAAATTATCAATATTTACTAATATCAAATTTAAATTTGAACATAGTATATTTTTTTAATATTATGTCTAGGTATTTAATCAGTCGGGTAATATTAGGCTAGGGTACCGGCTATTTATCAATTTCTTCAATTACAAAAGTACGATTAGTTCAATACGTAGGAATAAAAAAGATATGATACAAATACCTAATACAAAATAATACTTGGTACTTGAAGTGCTATAATTACGAACACACATCGTTTCCAGACATTCTCAAGGATTAGAAATATTACAACTCTGGTTGCATGTTTTAAGTGTTACAAGCATTATCATAGACGGTAATTGTACAGGTTTGGTCAAAAACATGCTTCCCGTACAGTTCATCATCCAAGGAATTCTATATTCAACTGAAAACAATATAACTTATTCTAAATACACGTAATAACAAACACAAATAGTTTTCACTTGTTTTATGATATACAGTGTAGTGATATGAAACTGAACCTGTAGATAAAGTGTTAATGACCAATTGAAATCCAAACGTGCAAAAAATAATGATGACAAAAAGGTAGAATAACAAAGTGTTGGAATCGTAATCAACGGGAGCTACACGGTATGTAATTGTAACGGCATGATTTGGAATATTTCCCTGTTCCCGAACTGATTTGGATATATGGCACCTAATTGATTAACCTTTTACTGCATGAGCATATTTTGAAAATGGTTGTTTACATTGAAAAGCCTCCTGTTTAAACTGATATGAAACCATAAAAATTTCTTCAATATTGATCAAACTTAGAACAAATAGTGACTGGACCATAATCTTTCTAACATCATACTCAATCTTACATTTCTGTTACCATGACAACGGGGAACGTCTCAAAATTGCAAAAAAATCACTATTTTGCATTGTTAATTTCCATCAAAAAGGATTTCAAAGTGCTGCAATTCTCAAAGGATTGAGGTACAGTAAAAGGCTTTTGGAACAAAAAACAAATTTCACATGTCAGAGAAGAAGTTGTAAACACTAGCATTTTATTGTCAAAAAGTTAGTATTATTTTTGATTTTTCATGTTTTTCATGATCATATAATAGAAATAAATCATTCCGCAAAAATTAAGTGGTTTTAGTAAAATGTTTTATCACGTAATTAATTTGCCGAACGTATTTCTATTACATCCGTGTAAAAATTTAGGGCACCGGATTGATTCATATTAAGGGAAAACAAAGCAACGGGTTCGTCATAGACTTGCAGCTCAACAATAACCGACTTCTTATGTTGAATATGGTACTTCACTTGCATCTATCAATTTGTATATACATATTAAAGTATGAAAGGTAAAAAATCTTGTTTATAGTTGCAAATGGCAGGAGACTTAGTTAAAGCAGCAAACGTCTTTATATGAAACTATCGACAAATATATAGTTTTGTAAAAGTGTTGTTTAATACAGAGAAATTGGGATATAATTATGTAGTAAGTGTAGCGATAGTTCGCGTCGAACCAACGTTTACCCATTGTTTTGTTTTCCCTTAATATGAATCAATCCGGGGAGCTCCACAAGATATGAAAAACAAGATCAGCAAGGAAGCGCGGCGTTCAAACGATCAGCCTGTTGTCATGTTTTCTCTTTGAATTTTTCGCAATGTTATGCTAGATTTAACTACTACTTCTCTGGCATGTGAAATTTGTTTTACTATTCAAATTGATATCTATTTAACATTGTGTACTATGTATCATGTGAAAATTGAAAAGTAACAAAGCTATTGAGTGAAAAATGGAAAATTTATTTGTTTGCCAGGAAAATTTAGCAAGTTAATACATAAACATGAAATTCTCTGTTCCATATCTGGGCGATATGTATATTGCCTTATATGGGCGACGAAAACCGCTACTAAGTACCAGGGAACAGCCCTTACCAATAATAAATAATATCAGAAAGAAATACAGAAATAAAAACAGCCAAAAAGAGAGTAATGGAGGACGAGGTGGAGGGAAAGGGAGGTGTTGATTAAACAAAATAAACAAGCGAATTTTCCTTCGCAAAACAATGGCTAAAGAATGGAGATGCCGTAGTTTGGTTGACTGAGAAAGTCATGTGATTACATTGAACGCTCTGATTGGCTATATGCAATGCCTAAATCAACATAGCAGTGAAATGAAATCCATTTAACGAAAAGTACAGTAACGTTATAATTTATATTATATGTTTATAAAAAATATTTATCTCCTTTGTTTTACATCAAAGCTTCGGCCCTCTGTACTATGTATGGGAAAATAGAAGAGTAACAAAATTATTAAATGAAAAAGGGCAAATTTATTTATTTGCCAAAAAAGTTTTAAAAGTTGATACATAAACATAAAATGTATATTGCCTTATATGGGCGACGAAAACCGCTACTAAGTACCAGGGAACAGCCTGGCAATGATTCGTTGTCTCATTTCCAATACAACTATGATCGGTAATTGTAACATCTTTTAAAGAAATAAAATACAATCTTATATTTTACAGAAATGCAAATGGCATTATATATATTAAATCATTCAAAAATGTATTTGAATTCAAAATTTCTTGTCAAGTGTTTGTCAGTGTTCAATCACCATTTCATTGACACTCAGTTAAGTTTGAATATCTATCAAACTGATGTATAAATTCAAGGACAGTCTCATGGCAAAACTTGTATTGTTCCTGCAATCATAAAATTACATTACATTGTATCATACATGTATATTCCTTAGTACAATATTGAATATATATGTTAGTTGCTTAAAAAAGGAATACTCCCAAATGAGGAATAAAAGAGTTCTGCAAATAAGCAAAAGAATACAAAAATAAATAAGCCAAAATAACATACGTACAGACTATTTTTACTTAATCCATTTATTCAATATTTTCTAGTATACTTGTTTTACGAAATCCCGAACTTTTTAAATGTCAACTGATTAAGGTAAACTTACGTTTTTTTTTTCACTATAAAGTTTTCTGGTAATGCTTTATTTATCATATAGTAAAAAGCGTAAATCAACAACAACAACAAATGAATATATTGTATACAGGTTGTTTCGTAAAACATCCACTTTTTTCAACATTTTGTTCACAGATAACAATACTTACCACAGAGGGTAAAATTTGTTTTCTAGCGTTCTTCATTTCTTGAATGACCTGTGATATTGCCACGTCCTGCTCGATCTGTAAGTGTTCTATAACTGCTGATATCACACAGTACAAACCACTTTTGTCTACACCATTCCTGTTTAAATTGATTAATGTGAAAGAAGAAGCATGCTATATCAATGTTAGTTTGCAACTTGGGCCATCTTTTCCAAAACTGCTATGAATTAACAGAAAACGTAACTTATTGTTACATTTGAGTTAACATTGACTGTTAGTTTAAAACAGGCTATTGTACAAAACATGAATAGGGAAGGAATTCAAAATTAATTCATCTTTTAAATTCGAGTCAATACCCCATGTATTTCTTTCTAATAACATTTAAGATATATTCCGTTATCAATGTATTTCACTTATTCTTATACGAGAACATGTATCGATGGTTTATCATTTGTTTTATAATTATTTTAACTCATTGACTTAAAATGTTCATAATAAACCAGGAAAATGAAATTGAATTTCATGTCTGAAAAGTTTACAAACTTGTTATGAACTTGCAAATGTTACACGTATCATTGAAATGAAGAAGAATAAATGAAAGTATCATAGTCTACTATAACCCTCGTTGTGCAAAATAGTTTGTATAAGTGAAACACTGAAATGTGCGAAAACCTTACATGCAATGCACAACAATGGTATGATGGCCAGACAGTCGCTGCCATACTTTAACAATTTCTAACAGTGTCAGTATAACACTTGGGGAGTCTGGTAAACTGTGATTGTAGGACCATCCCCCACACCGAATTTGTTTGATCTTACGGGTCTGAAATTTTTGAAAAAGGAAGACATAATTATATTTTTTGTTAATTGTTGGGTATAACGTCGCACCAACACAATATAGAGTTTCCAGCTTTTCTGGTGGAGAAAGATCTCAGGCCTCTTCGTGCATTGTTTCAGACACAAGCGATAACTTGAGTGGAACCATCAAATAAACTGGATAGCTTCCTGGTAAAGAATCTAAAATTCCTAAATTTAATTCATTTTTTTTTTGAAAAAGAAAATATCTTAAAAGATATGAAGTATTTGCAACAGATAATGCTAGTTCTTTTCAGACATTGTTTAAACATTAAAACATACACCGTCTATCGTCGGGTGAAAACATGTTCAGTATTTTTGATAACGGTATAAAGGTAACAAATAAGCTTAATTAATTACTGAAATCAATTAGAATAGTTGTATTACCACTTTATGCTTCGTTGCTGACAGTGTTACAAGTTGGTGATGGTTCTTCTTTTCGTCACCATCTTGGGTGATTTCTATGTTACCAAATGTAACAGATTCACCTTTCTCAGGCCAATACTTCTCAGAATCCTGCAAGGAAACGTGCAAATGATCATTTCAATACGTAACCACTGAAAATGTAAATTTTAGTAAAACTGTAATCGTTCTAAGCTTAAAAAGAAAGGTTGCAATGGTTACAACAATTGATATAAGATGCTTAAAAATGAGAACTTGTTTTATAGAAGGCGAGACGCTGCACTTATGGCTTTTTAAAAGATAGAAAAAATATAAGTTTCCTTACTATATTATAATTACTTCTAAAAACGTTCATAATTTCATATATCTGACAAAATACTTTACAACTTACTATTGCCCGTGTTTAATAATTATGCATAAATGTTAACATCCTTAAAGTCGGGCGGCTATAATAAAAAAGGGCTTTACAATTAAAGTAATAAAGGGAGATCAGATAGTTATAGTTTATCAAACGTGGTATGTTTGTTTCTTTCAAATACACAATTTTCTGTACAATTAAGCAAGCATCTTACAAACAGAAAACCCACTCGTCACTAGCGCAAAAGCTTGCAATATAATGTATAAGGGAATTAATACCAAAATATTTACATTAACATTAAAATAGCATTAAAGCAGCATGCTTCAAAATTTAATCCAATTTTGATGATACATGTGTAATTTTGAAAATGTATTTGAGAGTTAAATACAATATTTTGAAGTAAACAAAGAAAATAATTTTCAAACTGCAAACGGCATTTACAATGCTTACGTACTTTACTAAAGAGAGCTCAGTATAATACTATGCAAAAACCGGCTAAAATGCGTTTATCACGCAGTAGAAATATAATTCTAAATACTGTAAAATCAGTCATAACCGCACATAACAAGAAAGTAATTACTCAAATCTTGTTAGTGCTTTCCTTAACCCTTTCCCCCATGAGCATATTGTGAAAAATGGCCATTTTCACTGAAAAGCCTCCTCTCACAAGTTCAAACTGCTATGAAACTATGAAAAATGCTTCAATACTAATCAAACTTGGCAGCAAATGTTGACTGGACCATTGCCTTTGTAACGACATGCTCAGTCTTAAATTTCCTGTTACCATGGCAACGAGGGGACATCTCAAAATTGCCAAAAATCACTTTTTTGCCTCGAATTTTTTCCATCAAAATTTATTTCAAAGTGCAAAG